TTAATGGTTACATGGGGGCAAAAATTTATGTGACTCCATAAAATTTTTAATTTCAGTGAATACCAATTTCGTAACGCAGAAAATAACACTCACCCTGTCGACTGGTCCCTCTGACAGCGGGACTGTGGCGCCCTCCCTCTCTTGGGGTGCAGTACTATGATGCCGTTGGGGTCACTCAAACCCTCATAACTGAGCCTCTATTTTAGTCAATCCTCTTTGGTGCGCACTGCTAATATTTTTTTGGAAATGTGGCGCCCTCCAAACAGGAAGTAGAACTCCGGCGAAGTTTAACCAATTCTTTTCCTCTACCATCGTTTGCGAAGAGGTACGTTTTTCAGCGATAAACAATGAAAATCCACTTGCATCAACGGATTTATTGTCATTGAATAAATAATCATGGGTGATAATTGAAGGATATATTTCAAATATCGTTTTCCTGCCAATAGTTTGACGTTGGGACTTTGAAACCTGTGAAATATCGAGTGTCAAAGTATCACGACATCGGGGATACCCTCGTGGATTGTGTTTGTGACAATTGTGCTGTGAATTTGTTAATAATTGGATTAATTTTTGTTGTTTAGGACGCAATGGGTCGTTACTCTCACGAGCCAACTAATGTCGCCAAATCGTGCAAGGCGCGGGGTTCCAACCTCCGTGTTCACTTCAAGGTAAACAAAATGCTCATTTGGATAACCTAGAAAATGGTCCAATGGAGTAATTAACGAGAAATTGAAGTAATGGATAATGTAGTAATGGACTTTTGATTCTGGAGGGAAGTGTTTGGAAGAGAGTAGTGGAAATTCGAATTGACAATTTTTTAATTATCGATTTATGTGGAAATCCGACGATTGCAACAGGAAAAGTCAGAGGACTTTTTTGTAGTTTATCAAATTTCTCATAAATTAATAAATTATCAAATTCGACGTGTCTCAATTTACCATTTCGTTTTTCTTTTTTTAAATGAATGAAGTAATTGTTTTGTTATTTCTTGCTCGTATCATTCCCACAATTTTGTATTCACCAGAACACACACGAGGCAGCCCGTGCTATCAAGAATATGGCACTGAGAAGAGCCCAGAAGTTCCTGAAGAACGTAATTGAATACAAAGAATGTGTTCCCTTCCGCAGATTCAATGGTGGTGTGGGACGGTGCGCTCAAGCTAAGCAATTTGGAACCACTCAAGGTACGTTACGATGAAAATTAAGTCGATTGACTCGACTTCAGAAAATTGCCTATTTATTTATTTAATTATTGAAATCTGTGTTGACAGGACGATGGCCCAAGAAATCCGCCGAGTTCCTACTTCAGCTGTTGAGGAACGCAGAGTCAAATGCTGATTACAAAGGTCTAGATGTTGATCGTCTTGTTATTGATCACATTCAGGTCAACCACGCACCTTGCCTTCGTAGAAGAACGTACAGAGCCCACGGACGCATCAATCGTAAGTCGATATACCATTTTACAAATTAATTTTAATTTTAAAATTAATTTACTTTCTGAATAAAAAGAGATAGGGAAATTTTTATAGAAATATTTTTTGTAGTCCACATGAAGGATAAGTATTTAATGAATATTTTTTTAGCGTACATGAGCAGTCCCTGCCACATTGAGGTGATTCTCACCGAGAAGGAAGATGTTGTAGCTAAAGCCACGGAGGAGGAACCATCCAAGAAAAAGCTCAGCAAGAAGAAACTTGCACGCCAGAAGGAGAAGATGATGAGAGAATAAAGGTATAACTGTGACTTCATTCGTTTACAAAGAACTGTATTGTGAATTAAAAGTTACATTATACGGTAGCCATTGAACATTTTATTTATCCTCGTTTTTTCACTTTGTCGTCTTTCATTGGCAGTTGAACATAAAACTATTCTGATTGTATTATGAATTATAATTATTCAAAACTATTGAATAATGAACGGATTAATTAATGGAATGTGTTCGTTCGATTGCTGTGGATGATGTCACAAAGATGGAGAACGCTATATAAACTTTCGATCTTTTATGAAAAATGATATCCGTAAGAACGATGGAGTTCGATATGTACAAGAAATTTGAAATGAAAGAATGACTCATTTCTCGTTCCAGTAAAATGACAGGTTGAAAATATAATATTAAAGTTACTGGAAGAACTCCAAGTTATTGTGTCAATTAAATAACTGACTAGGACATACATCAGCCGAAAAAAACGTAAAGAGTAGCAAATCGCTTTTTTTGTATTGCAGTTCTGTATAAATATCAGCATCTACCGAGCAAAAGAAAATTTATCTCGAAAACCCTTTTGAAGGGAGAATTGAGAGGCGCAAAAATATATTTACAAATATTTCGCTATCTCTCTCTCGGAGATATATATATATATAGATATATATATCTAATTTTCATCGAGTATTGGAGTAATCAAACATTTCGCCTTTTTCTTCATCACGTTATAATATTCTATTTATTTTTCTGTTTTATTTCATTCGTAAAGTAACTCAGTGTGATCCACCGAGTAACAATAGCCACTGTTTACATCTAAAATAACTGAATGATTAATACAGGGAACAGATAATACAAAACATTGGAGATATTTAGCTACTATGGGCGATATCATGATTCATACGTTGAGCAGCACTGGCGCACTATAAATATATATATTTTTTTCATTATTCCCTCATCACAATTCAGTTCGGTTTTTCATGATTAGGCGCCTCTGGGTTATCGCTTCCTGATGGCGCTCAATAGTAATACTAGGATATTCTACCAATGTCTCTACTATGGTTCAACTGGGCAATTGATGATTCTTCCACTCTGGAGAATGTTTTCCCTTCGATAATTCGCTATCTTCTTTTGTGGAGAATTATTGTTTTATTCGCTAGAAAAATGCATTGTGACTATACATGGAATTATCAGGTAGAGCTGGTTTATTCTGGAACGATCAGGTGTCAGGAAAGTGGCTCGCGAGTGGTGTTTGGTAGGAAGAGACATAATAAACCACCCCCTGGAACAATAAGCAATTAATTAAGTCAAATTAATGAATTTTTCGATTTAATCAATTTACCTTCTTCGTGGCTTCTCGGGAATACCTCCGAAAATAAGGGAAATAGAGAAATATTTGTAGAATCTTTTCTATAGCTCTCGATCGGCTTTACAGAAAAGATTCCAATAAAAATTTCACTGATTCCCTTCATTTTGGAGATATTCCCGAAAAATGGAAAGGGTGAATTCATTGTTTTTTTTTTTTGAGGCGTAAGATTGATAGAATTTACTTAGAAAGTAGTGAAAAAAAATACTGTACCAATGAGAAGTCCAGCAACAATGAAGGTTGATGCTCCACACCACGTGTCCAGGAGTTGTGCTATAGCAATATTTCCAATGATGCCACCTAATCTGGCTGCGACCATGGAAATAGCGATACCAGTGGCACGTAAGTTTGTGGGAAAGACTTCGGTTATAAGACAATCTAGTGCCGCGTTACCACAGCTTATAACACCACTAAAGAACGCCGATACAAGGAGATTATGGAGTTTATTGTAGACGAAGTAGAGACTCATCGAGCACAAGCCCGCGGAGAGAGTACTGAAGACTGAAAGAAACCATTTCATTAAAATCCCGTGTCCCATGAAATGTTGAGATTTCAATTAAAGTCCGAATTCTTATTCTGACGTCAACCGCGAATTTTTTGCATTTTTTTCGATACTAGTTTTTAGTCACTATCTCAAAATTGAAGGAGAATAGAGATTTTTTCATAGATGCCATTTTTTTAGCTCTCATCTTGATGTATAGAAAGTGTTTGAAGAAAAATTTCGTTGTATTGGAAATAAAATGGGACATGGCAGAACGATCTTACCGAGGAAAAACTTCCTCCCCAAACGATCCATTCCAAGAACAGCAATGATGTTAGCAGGAATAGCAGCTGCAACGGTGATGATGGACTCTACGAAGACAGATTCCCCGATGGTATTAATACAGGGTCCATCAACCGCGTAATTAGCTTCCCTATCTCGCAAGTAGAAGTCAGTGACTTCGCAGATGTGAGCTTCGCGATTATCATTGTGCTTGGCGTATTTGTCAAAACGATTGAACAGCTCTGGGAACCACATCATCAAACCGTAGTAACCAATATGGAATGTGAAGTTGATGAAAATTGATATCATGGTGAAGCGTAGAATTGGTGAGGCGAATAGTTGTTTACTATTGTCGAGAATATCACCAAGCATCATCTTGTATTTACTCTTTTCATCGGTCCCAGATTTGACTGGTGCCGGTGCGATGAAATCATCGAGAATTAGTTCCTTAACCTGGGGACAGTATTAAATGAAAAATAGATTCACAATAAATGAGTATATTTACAATATTTACCGTGTAAGTATCACGGGGTTTGCCGGTGTTGGTGGCGTAAATGCCACGGAAAATATCGAGGGCTTCCTCGTACCTTCCGCGAGATAATAAATATTTAGGGGATTCAGGCAGGAGCAGGAGTAGCCCCGCCACTATGAAGGAGGGAGCAGCGCAGATCAGCAGGAAAATTCGCCAAGAATTGAATGTGAACGATTCATTGGTAATACCGATGTTGTGAGGGATGATCAGCCATGCCAAACCTTATAAAACAATTTACTCCATTAATTATTAATCATTAAACCAATATCGAAGTGATAACCTGGGATAGAAGCATTTTTTGCAATCTTTGCATTTTTTCGAGGCCAGTTCTTAGCCAATATCGTGGAATTGAAGGAACATATCGATTTTTTTGCATAAACATTTTTTTCTAGAAAAAGATGAAGGCTACAAAAAAGGTTCTTATGAAAATATCATAATTTTCCTTCGATTTCGAAATATTGGCGAAAAACTGGCCCTTCAAGAAATGCGAAAAATGCAATTATCGTAAATTATCACTTGACGATAGAAATTCAGTGGCAAAATGGTGGATTTAATTACCGGCAACGAACAAATTGCCCAGCGTCCAGAAAGCAGCCATAAATGATAACATAGATCCACGTTTGGATTTTGGCTGGAACTCTGCAAAGTACGACCAGATGACCGGCCCACTGCCCCCAAGGCTGAAATCGGAGAAATCATGAGATCAATGATAATCATATTTCTATCAATGTACGTGGATTATTGCGAATTATTAATCAGGGAATGCTTACGCAGCTCCGTTAAGAAAACGGAAGAACATGAAGAGTTCGTAGGACTGGCTGAAGCTAGATGCAACGATGCATAGGGCATTCATGAATGAAATGACGATTAGTACTTTGCGTCGGCCCAGGGCATCTGCAACAGAACCCCACGCATAAGCACCCGCCATCATTCCGATGAAGATGATGGAGCTGAGCCATCCCTTGGCTTCGGTTGTCAACTTTAGGTCACATTGTGCACTTGGAAGGATGAAGGACATGGAGATTACGTCCATCTCCTCGCTCGTACTGACGAACCCGCATACTGCGAGTAGGAAGTAATGAAACTTGCCATACCCTTTGAAATTCAAAAATAATTATTCATTTTTAGGAATTTTCCAAATTTTCAAAATCAAAGAAAACATTAATTTTTGATTTTAGCTCACCGGTAAGTTCGATTGCCTTCTCAAAATCAGCTTTTAAGTAGGATCCTTTTTCTGGGTCTAGAGGTTTATCCTTTGACCCAAGTCCTGATAAAATAATGAATTATTAATAACATGTCTGGTAATTTTATTGCGAAATGATAAATTAGGATAAGTGAGTGTTCTTCGAGACCAATTATTATCAAATATCTCGAAATCGAAGGAAGATACCGATATTTTCATAGATACCTTTTTTGTAGCCCTCACCTTTTTCGACAAAAAATGTTTCTGCAAGAAAATTGTTACGTTCCTTCAATTCCGAGATATTGGCTAAAACCGGCCTCGAAAAAATTCAAAAAATGTGTTTATCCTAGTTTACCACTTGCTACTGAATTGAAAATGAAAAATATTATATTACCGGCAAGTTCTAGGTCTTTTGAACCGCAGCCGTTCAAACGATCGTCTTTTACATCACACTCTAAAAAAAAATAGCGATAATCTCGTATTAATAATACGATCACAGCTGTACGACGAAGTGATTGAGAGGATCGAATATGCGCTATTATTTAAATTTTTCATCGCATTTGTTTAGATTTTTGAAAAAATTTTTAAGGTACTCACTATGATTGTGTTTTGTGTCGGTTTCACCTTCTACCATTCTACGATGTCGGCGCGGTGAGGAGGATCTGGCTTCGTAAAAAATTGATCTAAATAATTCAATAAGCCTGTTGCCGCTGATGCGTAACTTTGATCGTCTTTTCGGTTTTACACGGGTTTTGGCGAAATTTTTCAGCTGATCCTGCGCTGCTCTGCTGCTTCACGACGACGGGGCTAGGTTTTGTACTCACACACGAACTGCAATGAGAATTTATTGTTGAGCCATTTTGATTATTGCTGGGACCCAGAGGTGGGCATGTTAAAAAATTCATTGAAAATAATCAAGGGTGAGATTTATCATTTGCACATTGATTAATCGCTATGATAACACTCGATACGAGTATTCCCAGGTGGAATAATTAATTAGTTATGCTGACAATATAGGTATATATTAATATTTGAATATAAAATAAAGAGTAGGAGAATGTATTGGTCGGAGAGATTAATCATTTTGTTGTGATCTCACAAGTACAATATTTTTCCATTATGTTCTCCCAAGTAATCTCATCATTTCACCAATATCATTATTTATCAATTACTAAATTTTCCATATGCGAAGTTATTGGGCATTTGATTCTACACAATGCGTATTCGATGCGAGAAAATAATTTTTTTCCAAGTGATTTTGGACTGAGAACCGAGCGGTTCGTCTCCAACACCTAGAATAATCAATCTTTCATCTAATATTTTTCATCAATCTGGAATATATCTACAGGTGTCAGCAGATTTTTCTCGCGAGACAAGTCAATGATATTCAAGTTAAAAATAATTATTCTCCAAGTGTATTGATTTTCCGCAGTAAACATGCAACCGTTGCATAATGGTTTTTTAGTTAGCCGTTAGTTACTGTGAATAATCTTCAATCATACTGAACGATTACTAAATGAATAATTAGAATCACATAGTTGGTTTTTACAAACATCTTTACGAGTTTCCCAGCTAGCCAATTATCCACACCATTGTGGATGAATCTTAAAATGTGATTCAATCGTTGCCAATTGGTGCCTTTATTTTTTTTTTCTTTCCGTCAATTGTTAAAGCAATCTTTATCTCATACCGTGCTTCGTGTGGATGTTCATTGCGTAACTGTGAGTTATTACAATTAAATTTGAAGGAATTGTTCTTTCAATTACGAGGGAATCGAGGTTGCTCATGGGTGAGGGGCAGAGTAAGTAAAATCCAACTATCTAATTCGCAGTAAATTGTTGCATTAAAAATTAAATAGCTACTTCTAAAAATTACTCAATTACCGAAAAGCGAATTTTTTGAACGAATTTTATCAATACGACGACCTTTTCCTTATATTAATAATTATCATTAAGTTTTACTGATACCTTTAACGCCAGGGGATGAAAATTGAAAGCGCGAGGTCGTATGTGCGGATGAGAGATAGGGAATGGAATAAATGTGAATGATACTAACAATTCGGAAGGTTGAAAAAATAAAATGAAAATAGAAAAAACTTTTTCGACCGTGACAGGACTCGAACCTGCAATCTTCGGATCCGAAGTCCGACGCCTTATCCGTTAGGCCACACGGTCTACAGACATTTTTGCAGAGACCTGCAATATGTACATCAGTACATATAGATGTATATAGCTATATCAGCTTTGGTATTGTACATATTCATAGAAAAAAAAAAAGTGGCAAATAGAATAAAATAAATAAATTCGGGAATTATTCTATTTTTGAAAATGAAAATAGAAACTCGATTGGATAAGAATTACGCTGCAATGGAGTTTTCCATTTTTTAGTTAATGGAAAATTTGCAAACGATAAACAAACAAGCAGTAATTTACCATTTTTCTGGTTCGCTATTTGATTTCTGCAATTTCTTGGGACTAATTACATATCTTTGTACCTCTCAATGACATAATAGTAGGAAAAGGATTACATTTGAACGTTTTCTTGTAGAAAATGGTGTCGTGACGATTTGTCATGTTTTTAACGAGCATCCTGGATTGTTATTGGAGACTGACAGCTCACGGCTATCGCAATTAATTAGACAATCCTAAATTGAACGATTCCAAGAAACTCTAGGACGACTTCAATTCGACAAGTGACATCGTGGGAATTTATTAAAAAATGCTCATGAAAAATTGCAAAAGGGAAAAAAATCGTGGGAACATATGAGACATGTATGCAATATATTCGTTTCATATATCTTATTCTCAAATTATCTCGTCATTTTTTTAGGGAAATTGAGAGTTAAAGGGAATCATGGACATTTAATAAATCTTTGAATTTGTTATTGTTAAAAATGAGGATTTTTATTTGAGAAAAACTAAAAAGTTCTGGATGTTCATGGCAAATGTTTATTGCAATTCTTAGAAATTTAATACTGACGGGGGTAAAAATATCTGATGATTGAAATGATGTTGTGATTTAAAATTCGCGAAATTCGTGGCGGAAATATAGTAACGGAAACAGGAAGGTTATTGTTGACCGGAAGTGAAGAATTCGAATGAACTCGATATCCATAATTGGATGAGGCCACATTTTTTTAAAAACAATGAGAAAAACAGTCCATTTTTTTCATACCATTTTTCACATTTATCCAATTTTAATTCTTCATTAAATAGAAATTCTACTTTAGAATAAATAAATAATTAATAAAATCTTTGAGTTCTTAGAATTGATTTCACGTCATAAAATTGGGATTTTCAATTATTCCCTTGGTCCAATCAATTAAAATTAATCATTTTGATTGAAAATGGGTAATCGATTGCAGGATTCTATTTAATTTTCCTCGTTCGACTCCGAAATAATTGATAAATCGTAGAACAAAAATCCCTTAATAAACAATAAATAAACAATATTGAACTTACACCATCGAAATAATCCAATCAAAGACCTCTTACTCCAATAGAGCACAAAAAAATATCGCAAAAATACTGAAGTGAACACTGACGTTAAAAAATAGTACAATCCCCGATATTCCCCCGCACCACAATCACAATTTATAAAAATAAATCAGTAATAATTAATAACATTAATACTCTATCCCCACATAGTCAAACTGAGATATCAATCGAAATTACCACTGAAATCAGAAACGGTGACCAATAATTTTTGAGACGAGAAAAATAAACGTTTTTCTCCTGAAATTTCCGAAAATTACTTGGACATTTGCTCGTAATTTATATATCTCAGTTTATCAAAATCCTCGGTACGACTGGCTCCATGATTCCGGGGTAATCGAATAATTGTACGGATAAATTATCGAAACCATTTGTTATGATCCGAAAGATACGGGGATTGAGGATGAAATGAGTGAATTGGTCAAGTCGGCTGGAATCTGAAGTACCTGCCACCTCCCACTATCTAATGGCTGCTGTTGTACAATCAGAAAAATAAATATATTTCATCTAATCAACGGGTAATTAGCACACACCGTTTAAAATTAGGCCTGAGAAATTTAACCGTCACAATAAAATTGATTTTCAAACGGATCGAACAAATTGATTAAAAGAAATCACCTAATTATTCAGTTAATCGATAAATCAATCAATCAATCGATCGCGGAATCGATAATCCAAAATATTGTTACCGCAAATAAATAATTAATGTTAATTTAATGTTATCAATGTTATTTGACTATTTTACCGCGGATAAACAATAGCGTGGGGAAAAGATCCATTATCTGGAAATTTTTAAAAATGTTGGAATTGAATTTCTGTTCGCATGCAGCAAAGATGAAAAATTGTCATGCCGCACTTCTGTCAGTCCGAGTAATTGAATTCAATCCATCACAAGTGCTCTGGGAGGAATATCTCTGTTACATCAATGATGATTATTCATGTGTAACATGACGATGCAGTGGACAATATTCCACGATATTTCCTATGAATTATTTAACCGGTATGGAAATATCTAGTGCTCTAGGAATTTCTAGGACATTTCACCCATGGAAGAGGCTATGAAAAGCACGAGAAATACATGAAAGATACACGTGATGCGTTATTTTCCAACATATGTCATTCTCATCTATAATTCATGTGCAATAATCGCTCAGATATTGGGTATTTTTAAATAAATTTTATGTATTTTCATATTGACATACTTTTATCATGAGTCCCATTTTTTCATTTCTCAAATCAATCATTTATATTCAATAACAAAAGTATTTATTTACACACAAAATTACATTATGATAATTCTATAATTGAATTGATAAGAAATTCGAATTGTTATTGCATATATTTTCTAATATTCTTGACATTCTCGATCATATATGTATATTGTTTTTATTTGTTATATATTATTCTGTGGGATCGACGGATTTTCTAAAAATCTGAATTACGATATTTTAAGGTAAATTCAAGGTAAATCCGCGGTATGATTGACAACGATCGTATTTCATTTCATTTAAGCGTCAAAAATGGAAAATTTTCCTCATTCATTGTGACAACCTTTTAACCGTCACTTAACATTATTTATGGCGTCAGTGATAATTGCTCTGCCCTCGTTATCAGAGTGACAACCTCAAAAAATCGCGAATGCAATTGCTGTCTATGTCGGTCTAACGTGGCACATGCCACATTATTTTTAAATCCCCCATTTTTTTCTTTTATTATTTTTGGTTCATCGTTATCAGTTGGGGGAGAGCAAGTTCCCCTAGTGCAGTGGAATATTGCGAGTTGTGAATTTTTAAATACATGAAAAATACGAGAGTAAAGCCAGACGTGTAACGAACGCATTAGGCTCTTTATTTTTTCGTCTTTACGCTATCTTCGGAGGAAATAATAAACTCCTGTGCCACCTGACACTATCTTTCGTAATCTTATTTGAAGATGTGTTTGAATCACTAAAATGGGGACGAAAAATTTATGGCATTATTTTTGGTAGATGAGGAAAATATTGAGACCAGAGAAAGAGCAGAACTCGTGTTTGAACTCGAGAGAAAAAATCTCGTGAGTGGAAAAATAACCTTCGATTTATCATATATCGATTTCAGGGTTTCGATTTATCCTTGCCACATTCTGAGTGATCAGAATCAATCAATAGGCCGCGTGAACATCTCAACAGCGATTTGTATCAATCAACAATTTTTATTTTTTTATTGTCCATTTTTCCGGTTCATTTTTTCATTTTTTTAATTCCGAATTAAAAATGTAATTACTCATTATTCGTCATTGCTGACGATTAATTTAATGATTGAGTATTTTTTGGGATTATTAATGATTGGTGCGTCGATCCAGAAAATGGTCATTATTACTGCATCAATTGTGAAAATAGTCATTATCGTTTTTTTGTGAAAATTACGAAATTTTTCGTTTTTTGAGTAAAATAGTAATTTCATTTTCAGGTGGGTGTAATAAATAACTTTTCAACTGATATAAATAATTTACGATTTTTTAAATAACTGTCCAATATTAATCAATTTTCTTTCGAAATTTTACGTGTTCTTTCCTGTTTTTTTACATTTATTGTTGACATTTTTCGCTCATTATTTTGATTTCCACATTCTCAAAATACTTCTGCCTTTTTTTGGAAAAATTTCTTGAAATTGTAAGGAGGCAATTGAGAATGCCTCATACACGCGCATTGAGATCAATCATTCAAAATGAATTGTTCTCTCCAGCCTATTGGCTTTTACGATCAGTTGAAGACATTTTACGGACTGGTTATAACCAGATTGATACCGAGAATAACCCAGAGAAATATTCCTCACGAAAATTCTAGATTTAGTACAACAAAAATCATAATCTATGAATTTAATTACCTTTATATAACCTTCAAATCACTTTAACTCATTAAAACTTATTAAAATCATTAATTGATGTACTAATATCTAAATCCAGAAATATTCTCTTCAAAATTCGATTGCCTCCAAAATAAATTGAAAATTTTAACACCAAATTTATAAACTAAAACTATTCAAACTGCCGCTTTGAACTAATAATTACTTCTCCCCTCCCTAATTCATGATTATTTATGATTTTCAATTGTTATTCTATCTATTTTTTGTTCAGATTATTTTTTAAACACCAAAAAACTTTCTTTCGAGCACAAAAAAATGGAATGGGTTAATAAAAATAATGAGGATGCAATTAAAAAATAAACATTAGAAATAGTAAATATTCAAAATCAATTAAATAATAATTTTGTTATTCCGGAGGAAAAAACGTATCGCCTCGAAAAAATAGAAATTTTCCATTAAAACTGATAAACACGATTATTTTTCAGTGTAAAAATCTATTTCGGTATTAGCAAATAAAAAAATAGTTCTTCGAAATTCGTTGGCCTTCGGGGAGGCCGAAAAAACCAGCAGCTGAGCTGTGATGGCGCCGAAGGTATAATTCATTTATTCTTATCAATTATCCGCGTCTGTCTACTCAGTATCAATTAAACAATTCGTAAACATGGCGAGATCTCTCCAGTAAGAGAAGAAATTTTTGGTGAAGTGGAAATCTCAAAAGAATTCCTCCTAACAAATTCATGGACTCAATGGAGAATATCAGTTATCCATTTACTTCGATAAATATATAAAATAAAAATATATCATATGTATATTATTATTGCTATTATTATTGTTTTCATCTTTTGCAGAATTGAATATAAAAAGGGAATTGTTATAAATATTCCATTCAAATACGCAGAAAATTCTCAATTAAATGTCAATTTGATTTCAATGATTGAATGGAAATTTTAACTCTAATAGTAATTTCATAAATGAAAGATATTTTGAGGATTCACCGGTTTGGGATTGAGTTTGAGAATAAGTATTAATTATCCAGAGTGATGGAGAGTAATTTTAATAATAATTGATACATGATTGGTACATGGAATTGATGATGTCCAGCAGAGGAGCGATTTCCTGGGGTTTTCCTGTGACGGGGGCTGAGACCGCACCAAACAACAACCAGACACATATTCACTCTTGATAATTAAACTTACTAAACAGAATAAATTTAATTCATTGTTACGCATGGAGAGAAATTCATGGAAGAAATTATCCTGAGATTGCATTAGAAAATTATCTAGTTATTTTTTTATACAAATTTTTGTGAAATTTCTATCAAAATGATTCTCTTGTCGATAATTACCATTTTTATAATAATAACAATATAACTCAATAAAATCTGGATTTTTTTGAATTTGCAATTTTCTGGACAAAGTCTCCAATAGATATTGCAATTTAAACCAAAGGATTGAATTTGCTTTGTGAAAAAAGGCGTAAATATTCCAACAAATATTTCAATAAATTGATCTCGGTTGGAAAATGATTTGAGTTGAAGGTAGATTATTTATAACTTACGGTGTGCGGCTTGCCAAGTCTTGGAAAAGTTGCCCAAGCGGGAACAACCAAAGTCCGGAGACAAGTCCCGACTTTATATATGATGAGCGGATTGTCTCCCCTTCCACGATCACTTGGTATCTCATTTGATCAGTCGTTGAGCCCAAAACTCGCTTTCTCATTCTATCATTTTACTGTACATCTGTATCTTTCAGTTTGTGCATCAGAAGAGGGGGCACTTGCTAATGACTAAAAACCTTCTTCGAGCCTCAAAAATCTACTAACTTGTTACTCCCATTGAAAATTAATTTCAGAACACATAACATTGATTTTAACACTCCCTATCCCAAAATTTTATTAATTTCATCTCCCCCCTCACTCCAATTTCAATTATTTTGATTATCGTAATTACTTTTAATGCTCCTAATAAAAAAGCAGCTACGAAAAATTGATTGAAAAAAATTCGGATCTCGTTGGTAAATAAATAAAAATAGATAACTTATTATTTTTTTTATAAAATATATCAGTTTTTAATTGCATTTGAAAAATTAGTGTAATTAAACTTTTTCGTCAAGTAATTAGACAAATCACGCGCGATATATAGGAGGTTTTATCTGAGTTCAATTACGGACACATTTTCACAGCAATAATTTTTTCCGCGGAACTTGCGCAATCGTGCGCAAGCTCCCAATTTGTTGACAAACCGATACCGATGGAATCGCTATTTCTGCCTATTCAAAAATATGAGATCGCCGATATAAATATATCATCAGCTGAAATTTGGATCTCAACGGAAAATAGATTTGGCATTAATGAAAAAAATGCGCGATGGCATCTGCTCAGGCGGCAAAAAAAAAATTAATAAATTCAAAGCAGAAATTCAAATTGTTAATTTCATTCAGTAACAAATGAATAATTGAATTCGTTTATTGTTATAAATAAACACACTTGGACCTTGTAGCCACGAAATAATATTCTATTTAGCGAATAATTCCATAAAAAAAAAATGAAGAATAAAAATTATTTATTCGTTGGATCCGAATTCGAGTCGTAAACCCAAAAAAAATCCATGAAATTTATATGAATCATAAAAATCGACTGAGAAAACATTTGTACTCGAGCAATAAAACAGAAGTTCATTGCCAGTACATGATAATATAAACAATGACGTCACACCTGTTAAATTTGTACATGAATTTGAGTGGCGGCAGATGATTATCAATTCGAAAAATCGTCAGAACCATTAAAACTCATCGCTAATGAGCGATTGATAAACGGGGGATAATTACCCCTGGTGTTTATAACTCATTGGCGTTTTTACCTCGACACGAGAAGTTGGTTTTACGCTCATATATTCAACGCGTGAGCATGTACCTTGTATTTACCATGTACTTATGACTCAATAACAGAAAAAAATCGTAATTGCGTCGATCCGTTTGACTCACAAAAACGTGATGTTAAAAAAAATAACATTTCCAAGGCGAACCGATCCATTGGCTTAATTGTTGCTTTCAATTAATTCAGTAAATATACGCCACTTGCTCGTCCCATTCTTAATATATCAATTAATCTCAATACTCGGGGTAGAGGCGCATGTCGGGATAAATACGAGTTCTCAATGTTTATAAGCTTTTTTTTTATTGGAAGTGGAAGCGAATTTTTTTTTATTTGACAATACGGAGATCAAAATCATGCATTGATGACAATTTATTTACCTCGGGCAATTACTCACGTGAATTGAGTCAATTTTTGGAGGAGGTAAACAACTTATTCTTTTTAAATTGCATTTTGCAATTTAATATTGACATAATAATTTATTATGACTGTAATTGCATATTAAATTGGGTATTGAAATAAATAGAATAAATAAATTCATGAAGGAATTGAGTTGCTTTTCTTACTTTCAAGTAAGAATCAAGAGAATTCAAGTTCTCGTTGAAGAACCAGCGATTGTTTAAAAATCATATTTTATCATGGGTTAATAATAGGAGTAAAATGACGAGGGAATTCAATTTAATTGATTTAATTAATTCAATTGCAATTGAATTAAGAGACCTGAAATGGTCGAAGTTTCAAAAATTTCTATCAGTGCAATGGAAAGAATCGTCACGTGGAGTATTCTATTTTCTGACGATAAAAATCTCCGAGCAAACTTGTAAAGTTTACCTACGCATTTATAATTTCATGACGCACATACACAGTCCAGTACTATACATATCATGTAACCCATATTCTCGGTGGCAAGGCCATTTAGACTTGATTTTATCTGAGATAATGAGAGAATAGCGTATTGTTTTCTGTAACTATTTGAACCGGAAGATCGGTAAATATTTTTTTTTTTTAGTTTCGAGTGAATCAACAGTCTCTACATTTCCCCTGGTACTAGACCTGGGGCTCGTAATTCTTGCAGACGACCGACGGAAATCAAACATCAGGTTTCCTCCAATCGGTTGACAGTATTTGCATGACTTAATTACCTGGTGTTCGTAGAAAACACGTGGAGATCACGAGAAGCTGCTCAATTGAAAATTCAATTAATAAAATTAATTATAAATCAAATGAAAAATCAATTAATCAATTAATGAATTATTATTTAAATTCATTGCATTTGTACAATAAAATTGACATTCGAAATTCAAAAGTTAAATTAAAGATTTATTGAATTGCAAAATATTACGGGTATTCTGATTTTTTTTTTACCAAATGGAAATGTAAAAAAAAATGTTTAAACAATGTTAAAATGTTTGAAGTGTTTTACCGAATTACCCTTATTGGTAATCATTTTTTAAATTAATGATAATGACTGCAATAACCTCGGTAATAACAATCAGAGTAATTATTGTTGTTGAATTTCTACTTCTCTCGCAGGGGAGAGCCATTCGGTGACAAAGTGGAAGATTGAAATCACAAATGATACAGCTAGTACGCAATACCAAACGTAAGCAGTGCAAGAAGCATGACTCATTGATTTCATGACGCCATTAATACGTGTATGAGAAAGAGTCAACTGCCCGCGGACCAACGAATATTTTTATTTACATTGCCAGCAAATCTATATCAGATTGAATAACAAATTCATGATTTCGGAAAAATTATTTAACCCATTGTTTAACGAAGTAATAAATTTAGTATAAAAAACATATTTCTTTTTTATTTTTATTTTTGGGAAATTCCACTTGGTAGTTGATGAATTGATGATAGTTAATTGTTAGGTATTTAATTTATCTGCTTGTGTTTGTTTAAACGAAAAAATGTTAAAAATTACGATTGACGAATGCTTTTAGAAAAATAGAGGAATTGGGGGGTAATTGCATTATTATTATTGTTTCCACTATTATTAAACTTCTGGTGCAGGCCTTGAATCGCGGAATGAACGGATTTAGAACGGCCTTTACTGGTGCTGACTTGTGCTAGCGAAAAGGAATTGTAAAAACCCCAGAGGACACATGGAAAATAGTTGTCAACAATGAGATAAGATCGGTAATTGAATTTGATTTGTCCACACGTATGGACCATTATTTTCTTTGTACTCTGTACGCATTGTGTCTGCACGCAGTGAAATGAAGTGAACTTGATTGTCATGAGTACTTGACTATTGAGAAAAAAATCTTGCCAAATAAAATAACCAATCAGTAATCCGTTGAGAATTAATACAGTTACATCCACTTGTAATTGTACATTAATTTTGCAGGGGAATTTTTGTTCTGTAGGAAAAATTTTTATCAACGAAAAATGGTGGAACGAAAATTTTTCCAAAAATGAGAAACGATTTTCTTCGGGGCGGAGTGAGAATTGCAATTCGGTAATTGCAGGTGCGGTAATTAGAAACTTCCTGTTAGGACAGATATTATCACGATTATCGACACTCTAAAATTTCATACATCAAATGGACTACGCAGCAAGTTAGTTCCGAGTGTTTATCGCAACTCGATACAAGAATCGTATACAACTCATTCATGATTTCATTCATTCTTTGACTTTCTTTTTATTTCAATGTTTTTGTTGATTCTTGGAATGACACATGTGCGCATGTTTACTACATTCCAAGGGTTCACTGGAATGTCCTTGTTGAAAATAGTTGAAAATTTTTAATATTTTTCGGATCTGAAAATTACGATTCACTGGCGAAGTGGTGAACTAGGATAAATGCATTTTTTACATTTCTTGAATTTTTTTCGAGACCACTTTTCAGTCAATATCACGGAATTGAAGGTATATATCGATTTTTTAGCATAAACATTTTTTATTGAAAAAGATAAGAGCTATAAAAATGGTGCTTATGAAAATGTCGTTATTTTCTTTCAATTCCGAGATATCGGTTATAAACTCGTTAAAAATACTTCGCAACAGAATTTCACTGAAAATTCACAGAAATTACCCGAATTTTCAATTAAGAAATGGAGATAAATGCCAGATTAATTGAGAATTGCTGAAAATGTCATCTTTTTTTCTTCTCGGCAGCATTTCCATCATATAATTTTGCCGTAATGTAGACTATATCATCTTCCCAAAGTTTTTTCTCCCCGCGATTCACGAATTTAGCGCAGACGAATGTGAAGTCACGGAGTGATTTCAATAGTAATTGTTTTGAAATAACTCCAAAGCGGTGATTTCCGGCGAGACATCTCGATCATTGGGTCCGGGGTCGATACACTCTCCCGTTAATGAAAGAAAAATAAATAAAAAAAACTCCCGGATCTTGAATTTTCCCACTGGTATCAACACCTATCGAGACTTCAAGAAAAAAAATGCGAAAAAAAGAATGTGCAATTAAAAAAAAATAATTTCTGTCAAGTAAATACACTTCAGAGACAATTCTCTGAAACTCCAAAAAATTTTGTACCTCGTGAGTGATTCCTTCAATTTTTTTCTGTTAAACAAATTTTTTTGAGAATTAAGAGAGTGAATTTAATTGATGGAAATTAATTTTTCATTCTGAAAATTTTGAAAATAATGGAAAACTCACCTAATCATAATACCGAGCCTTAAATGGACAGAAGCTCACTCATAAACCGGATAATCACCCACGAAAATGACCGACGCTGTCAGTAGGAGACTGTCAACTCGGCTATCACTTATCGACTTATCGATTTTCTGTCACTGTTTTGCAATTTTTTTTTGTTTTTTTTTGGAAAAAAAATGTATGAAGATGGAGAGTTAACTCGTGCGTGTCAATCATGCGATAACTAAATAACTCAGGAAGGGGTCACTTCATGACTGTCAATGTGGAGTACGACTGTCAATGTGGATGGAGCACCGCAAGCTCTTCTCTACCTCAGGGACGTCCATGAATTGGGCCCTCCCCCCATGAAACACTATATTAAATATTAAATATCAGCGAGTCTTCAATTAAATTTGAGTATTATTACGCATAATTTACGGATTTATATGCCCGACAATATAATTTGTATCGGAAAAATCGGAATCGAGTAAGAACATACATTTTAATATAGTGAGTTCTTTAAATTAAATTCGTACTGAGGGAACAATTATTTTTTACCAGAATATTATTCACTCGCATTGCGAGAGGAATTCGTAGAAAACTGTAGATATATTCCAGATTGATGGAAAATATTAAATGGGGATCGATTATTCTAGCCGTTTGAGACGAACCGCTCGGTCCTCAATTCAAAGTCGATTTGTAAAAAAAGATTTTCTCCCATCGAATGCGCATTGTGTAGAATCAAATGCACAATAACTCTTCAACATATAAAAAATTTAGTAATTGATAAATAATTATATTGGTAAAACGATGAGATACTTGGGAGAAAATAATGGGAAAATTGTACCTGTGGGATTACAACAAAATATTTCATCTCTCTCACCAATACATTATCCTACTCTTTATTTTATATTCAATTATTAATATATATCTATATTGTCAGTATAAGTAATTAGTTATTCCATCTGGGAATATCGTATGTACATCGTATCGAGTATTATCATAGCGATTATTCAATCGACAAATTGTTATTCCCTCAGCCCTAACAATTTCTAAAAAACATTTCCTAAAATCGTGAAGAGTTGCACTTGTCGTGCGTACGCATGCTTCACCCTACAAATTTAAATAACTGTAAAAGAATTTATGCCCACTTTAGTCATCGGCGGTCAGAGCAATCATCCTATTTGTTCGGTCGTCGTGATATTATGAATGACGATAAGAAAAGATACCAGAGAACATCGACAAATTATATCGAGTCGCTCTCACGGATGATCATCACCCGAATTTAATCAGAGACTCCATTTCTTCCATTACCGATTATTCAAACGAATAACAATTACGCAAAAGAATCCCGCAATAATCCTCGCAACCCTCGATTCCCAAATCTGAGAAAAAAAAATTGCAGTTCATGCATAATCGAGAATTCTTGAATATCCAATGAATCAATCGGTCTCTCAACGCAATATTTTTTTCACTTGAAATTACAGCATAATGTAATTTTCTCTAAAGACTCCGTAAAATTGATTAATTGCATTCTTTCATGTAATGCAATTGTCGGAGGAGAAGAGGATTGCCGTGGCAATTCGATAATACCCGCGGATGATTGAATAAAAAATATAATATAAAACATTGATTGTAACAAAGTGGTGGCAATAAAATTTTACGATTGTGACCGCCTCCTTATAGTTTGTACAGTTCTTAACGTTTAGGTTAGTATCACCGCCGGACAGTGGTATAATGACCCAATTATATCATTTACACGTTGACTCACAACCGTCAATTTGTTCATGTCCGGTACCCCACACCAACTTATAATAAAACATCGGCATTGCCGTGTGTTATCCGCACTCATAACCGATTCAACTCTATTATCATTGATCAATACCCCCCGCAAAGACATATCAACCAGTAAAAGTTGTTCTCTCCAACGATTTTTATTATTCCATTTTATAACAGCATTCAATTTTCTCGGATCAACTATTATTTTTCCGATCTTTCCTATCAGTCACTTAATTCTAAGACTACTGATTCACTTTGGTAAATAATAAGTTATTATTAATTAATACCCCTCGACAAACGAAGCAGCAATGTCATTTCTTAAAATTATTTTATTTATTTATCTCTGACAGAAAATTAAAAATAATGTAACCAACATGTTAAATAAAATAGGCGCATACTTTTAGGGGTAATGAACGAAATTATAACCATAGGCTTATCAAAAAAAAAAAGAACCGGATGTATAGATTTCGTAATTTGCGCCAGCTAATTGAAAAATATCTCCAGGTACTTGTGATCGCCATTCTCCCAGCACCAGTTGTAACTACACTTCAGCCTCATACTCATGCATAATCGCTGCAGATATAAATCGAGAGAGAGACGGCTTTTCTCCTCCATTCATCGAGCCAGTCAGTCGGCCTTTGAAGGTTGCTCGTTCGAATAAAAAATAATAATAGTGATAAAAACGAGACACCAGCACTAGAACGCGACGACTGGAAGAGAGAGGGCCCCCCTCCCCCCTCCTCCCACCCCATTCCCCGTGGATTTTCTTCGCACACTTTTTCAGACCTCAAGTCCTGCGAGTGGCCTTAGGGGAGTGTCAACCGCTTACCACAGTTTAATAAATTGGCCGAAAAAAAAATAATGCAATTGCGTAATTGAAAGGCGGGGGGCACCTCCTCCCCGCTCTTCATGTACCCCTCACCTGTGGGCAAATGGAAATTTCGCACTCAGGATATTGATTCGTGGGCGTCCAAAAATCATTCGTCCATATGATGAATGATTTATGACTATCGAAAACTTTAATTAGTACTTCAATTTAGTAATTAGGAAATTGCAGAAATTTTTTTTTAGGTGTATTTAGGTGTAGAGATATTTATTTGGGGAATTGGGGAGTAGGAGGATGGGAAGATGGCAGTTCTAGAATTTCGTCAAGCCAAGTGGAAATAAAGAGACTATGCAAAGATCTGGTGTCAGTGACCGCTGGATGCCGGTATGAACCGAGTACCGAGTCATACTCTCTCTCTTGCACTTGGAGTCATGGATCGCAGGTGACTTTCACTTCGGGTGCATGCGAAGACCGCTTGCAGTTCCAATCCAATGATTCATTCAGTTTAACCTGGAAAGCTACCGCGTAGAGAAAAGATTTCTTGCTCCCAGGAAAAATCCCTCGATTCTGGGAACTGCAATGTGAAAATAAATTGCAGGATTGAAGAATTGCATGACTTTGCAAAAACACGTTGAAATCGTTTCAGATTGTAATTTCTAATTAAATTTTTATTGCGTCTGTCTGATAGAATGAGTTTAAGACAATTGTACATTTTTTCTGAACAATCGAGAAAAAAAAATCCTGAATTATCAATGTCCTGATTTTTCAGTGTAATTCAAGGAATTCTGAAGAAAAAAAATCCAAATTTTCGCCAGAAAATTTCAACAGGAATTTCCAACAGTAAAATAATAAGAACAAAACAGTTCTACGATGTTCTCCAAAAACGAAACCAGTAAAACATCTTCGGAACAATTGAAGAATCACCCGGAACTATTCCAGGGCTGAATGAACCAAGCTATAACTGTGTGTTGCAATCCTCAAGTTTGAAAAATCCTTCGGCGAATTGAACCCGCGGGTGCTACCAGGGGAGGGGATAAAACTTGAATGATCCATAGAGTAAAGTACAAGCAAAAAAAGCTGGTGGGGATGGGATTTCCATGAGGGGCGGCGGCAGGGGGGATTCGTACTGGTAGCGCCGATTCCCGGAACGCCGACTCACAGCATGTGGGGGAGGGGCCGAGAGCGGCGCGGGGGGAGGATGCCGGCCGTGGAGGGGTGGGTGTCGTGTCAGTGGGGGAAGAGGGGAAGTGGCGCGTTCAGAAATGGCCGCGGGAAAGTAGCGAGCGGCGAGTTGGTGCGGTTTTATCGGCACAGATTTGTCAGTTAAATATCAGAAACTCCACAATTTCCTACACCACAATTAATCAGTTAATTAACCAGTGACATTCTCGATGCTGTGGTAAAAATAAAGGAAATTGATGTAACTTGTGGTGATTTAAATGGGGTGTCAGAGATGGAATTAATCTGGCGCCGTTGATGTGGAGTTGTGCAGCGGGCACTCATTGACGGATTTCTGATTGTGTGGGAGAGGGAGAGACGGTGGAAAGAATTTCATTCAATTGTTGGTGGTGGCGTTGGGATTTGAATTTTTTTTTTTGTGGTTGTTTGTGATTTTTGGGGGGGTGGGGGGCTTCGTTTGGAACTGTTTTTGGGAAAAAATGGCCGGTGACAGCGCAAAGAACAATGATATCGGTGGGGGGGATGAGCAGGGTGCGTCAGCGAGGGGAGAACCGCATTCCAGAGTGGGCGGCATTCTGGAATGCGATCCACACGGGAACAGGAATTCAATCCACAGTGAGGGAACAACTGGGATCGGAGAGGGTGTCTGTCGGTATGGGAGTCATTCCGATGCCGCTGCTATGTCTTTCATTGAGATTTGCCAGGTAATTTTTTTGGAGGAAAAAAATCCACTCAAATTTCATATAAGATCATATATATATATTCATTTATAATTTTTTTTTTTACAAAAAATAAATAGAATGTCAAAAATTATATTTTGACATTTTCCCTTCTAAAGTCTATAGTTTTCGGATAAATCCACATGTCATTAACATATTCAATTCAATTTTGCCCTTATTTTAGCAAAATGTCATTGATCAAATAATTTTCTTTCAGAATCGAATGCAAAATCTATTTCCTCAATTGGCACCGCCTCCTCGTTACGCCAGCTGCGATGATTCCGTCGAGTTGACAGCCGAATGCCTAGCAAAGGACGTCATCAGATACCTCTTGAAGGAGGACATGTATCTGATATCAAGAGATCCGATATCTCGCAGTATGCGCCATAATGTGTACCAGATGCTGAACAAGCACAGCATTTTATTCACAAGTATGGTGAATCGTCTGAATGTAGTGCCTGATACTGCGTACGAGGCATTCACTGGTGTTGCTGATGAGCTCTTCCTCCAGGGAGGAATAACGTGGGCGAGAATAGTGTGTCTTTACGCCTTCATGGGAAGACTGGCCCTCTGGGCAAAAGACGGAAGGATGCACGAGTTGAGGAAGAAATTGCCATTGTACGTTTCGAGATACATCGGCGAGGAAATAGCGCATTTCATAAAGGGATACGGAGGCTGGGTAAGTCCGCCACACGTTAAAGTGAAATAAGAACTTTTTTATGGATTTGAAGAATTTGGAAAAAAATTTACGTTAATTTAATTATAATGAAGTAGTTGAAAAAAAAATGAGCAATGGGAGACGGAAATTTGTATTAAAGAAAAACTCCCGTTTTTCTCCAGGAACAACTCTGCATAGAATATCCCATCGCCGAGGAGGTGAGTGGTGCCATTTGGAGAAGTCTCCTGATGACTGGAGCAACGTTGAGTCTCGTTGCAACAATTTTAGCTGTGACCTCTTGAAAAAAAACTCGTAAGAAAACATTTTTCCCTACAATCCACTCGAAAATTGAAGGAATCACGTACTTATTAATCCTGTGATCGTATCGTTCGGAAACGTGTGATAATAAATTGACATCGGTGCACAAATAATTTTTTTTAACCACAGAGCATTTTATGTTTCTATGAGGAACAAGAGAGAGGGCTTTTCGTCCAAATGAGTACAATAAAACAAAGTTTATGTATCCAATAAATACTCAAATGAATTTATAAATTTTCATTCACGCCAAATGATAATTTCAAAATTTTTTAACGAATTTAGGTAGCATCTCAAATTGTTTTGTATTTATTTTATAATTTATTCTAGGTAGAAAGCTATGAATTAATTTTTCAGCAATGCGCTTTAATGTAAGAATAGCAACAAATTTTATACGGAAATCACTGCAATTTTATAATACGTCATGTTTACAATTATTATAAACTAGAAACTTATATTATTTTTCAAATAAAGTTAAACTTCAAAGTTGTGTAACGAATGTAAAGAGAATAAAATTAGGGAAGACCATGACAGTTTACGATTTAATACATTTTATTTAAAAAAAAAACAATTCCCAGTCGAATGAAGGTGTTTATCTCGCAGGACATATGCTAATTTCTTATAATTCATGTTAGAAATTTCGACGATAAAGTCTATCAAATCTAATTTAATTTGATATACATTTTACAAGCGTTATTCCATAGCAAATGATGAAAACAAGGTGGTATACTTCTCTCCATTTTTCAGTAAGTCTTGTACATTGTCTACTCGTCCCTCGGATTTATGTGAAATATTTACATGTTTGGCTCTCCACTATACTCCATTAATCGCAATCAAGTAAGAATATACACTTAAAAATAGAGGGTTCTCTTAATTAAATTCACACTGAGAGAACAATTATTTTTCACTAGAATATTATTTAGATAACTGTAGATATATTCCAGATTGATGAAAAATATTAGGTAGGGGATTGATTATTCTAGGTGTTGGAGACGAACCGTTCGGTCCTCAGTCCAAAATCAATTGGCAAAAAAAGGATTTTCTCGCATCGAGTACGCATTTTGTAAAATCAAATGCACAATAACTTCTCAACATATGAAAAATTTGGTAATTGATAAATAATTATATTGGTGAAATCATGAGATTACTTGGGAGAACATAATGGAAAAATATTGTACTGGTGGGATCACAACAAAATGACTCATCTTTCCCACCAATACATTCTCCTACTCTTTATTTCATATCTACATATATCTACAGTGTCAGCATAACTAATTGGTTTTCCCATCTGGGAGTACTCGGATCGAGTATTATCTCTAACAAATCTAACAATCTCACACTTTATTATTTTTAATCAGTTTTCGTCTCAAGTACGATAGATTTGAGAAAAATAGATTTTCTCCCAGTGTACAGAAAACGTGCAATTTACTCTTATCTTTATGATCCTCGTTCACGATTTTCCTATATTCAAGTGTTGTTACTGTCATGAACTGTCGGGACTTAATTCCCCTCGACGTTATTATTAACAAAAAAAAAATAAAACGAGCTTATCTAACTACTGATGCACTCTGAATCTCCACGAGAATCGCCACAAAAACGCACTGTTAAACATTTAGCACGGAATTTTCGGATAAACTCTAGATTCCATGGACTTTTTTTTTCTTTTCTCGGAAAATTCACAATTTTCAACAGTGCATAATAAACATTAACAATCATCGATGGATGATCTAAAGCTTTTTTCTCTCTAAACAGTTGAAAAAAAATTCTTATGAAATGATAAAGTGAAAACTGCCACATGCAGTCGCAATTTTCTCATTTCCATCCTCTTGATATTTATTTTACTTGCATAATGTGTACACATATTCCAATATTAAATAGCGTCTTTATGTTCTATGTAAAATGTACAAACGGAACGCGATCCCGTTTTCACGCACTATATCATATTGTGGGGAAAGATGCCTAAATGAATTCGAGAATTTTGAGCAAATATTATTGCAGTAAAAGTTCACTCAACTATATTCTCTCCCTCTTCTGGAAAACAGAAAATCCACTGAACACCAATACAATACCCCCAACGAAAGTGATTGATGCTCCTCAATTACCCAGTACGAATCAACAATTACAATTGTAATTCAGCAGCGAAGAGTAACAACTCGATGTCCATTATAAAAAAAAAATACTTTTTCGAGGAATACATCTGAATTTAGGAGGCATATCGCAATTTTTTGTGGAAACCTTTTATGTAGTTTTCAATTCACTGTATAGAAAAGGTCTTCACGAAAAAATCGCTATCACTCTTAGATTTAAAGATTCCTGTCAAATATGTGGAAAAAAAAGAATTTTGAATCGCTTGAAAAAATTTCGCTATTTGTTTTAGATTCATAGATATTCATCTTCGCAACAGAATCACATAAATCTCCCCCTCCCCCAGGAACGAGCACCTCCGATCCCACATTGGAGCGATGATTTGGTCCTTAAGAGGCGAAAATTAGTGAATAACTGTAATTTTGTTGAATCATTTATTTATTACTCTTGAAAATATCATGGCAGTTGTAGCCTGGACGTCTCTCAACCGAGAGCAACGGCGAATCATTCCACACTACCACGAAAAAAAAGCAATTCACTATTTGCTCGAGCTCATCGCCATAGATAACACAATTTCTCTTCCACTCTCCACTTATGAACCAGTTTATTCTCATTACCAACTAACAAATGAATTTAAAAAGAAGAATCAGTTTTAATAACGCCTAAACATCGCTTCCTCACCGAATAATCATTTTTGGTTTCTCGTTTTTACAATAAGAAAGAAAGAAATTCAAAATCCACCGACAGACAATTGAAACTGGAAAAATTGTTTTCTTCATTTTCACATTTTAAAAAATGATTCCGTTTACATCAGTAAGTTATTAATTTTCTTTCAAAAATCACATTTATACCATTTATGAAATTTTAAGTATCTCTAACCGCCGTCGTGCAATGAAAAACACTAATACCTTGAGACTCGAGAGCGAAGCAAATAAAATAAAAGTGACAATTTCTCTAATTTTGAATCCAACATTTCTGATCGCACATTAAGGAAAATTTTTCGAATCGATGACCACAAGAGACCCTTCGGTCCTATCTCCCATCAGAAATCTGTTATATATACTTTTTGTTTTGAATTTTCATTTATTTATTTTTTTTTTACGAGTTATCACAGTTGAGGCGGTCACGGGAGGGCTAGAGAGTGAGGGGCAGACCATTGCATCCCTGATACGAGGAGAATTCCGTTTGCGATTGGCTATTTCTTATTCGGTGTAATCCCACCATTCTTTCTCGTAGCCCTCATGCACGTGCTCGAGTAATACCTTCCTCCGATTGTCACAATATCTTGGAGAAAAATAGTAACAAAAAGAGAAGATTAATCAAAAGATTCCTTAAAAAAATTTATTGAAGTTGGGCATCGCTGCTATTGTACGTTAAGTTTCATAATATAACGAAATAAAAAACTAATAAAATCAAAATATAGAGAAATTACCTGTATTTGTCTTGAACTTTTTGCTTGATGTCAGCAAGATTTTCACTCGTTATGTTCCTCTCGAGATACTCGGACAACAATTCGGTCGCACCTTCCAGATCCTTCTGGTTATCCTCGAAGATCACAGATTGATTATTTTTCCTCAAGTAATAAGCAAAAACGTATGTGTACGTTAGAGTCTGTCTGCATAAACACAGAATATCAACGGCTTTTTTCAAGAATTGGACCTGCAACCAAAATTTCATTTTTCCAACCATAAATTTTTGTTATAAAATTTCAACCGTCATTACAACCGCCTCCGACAAATTACCTCGATCCAGGACATATTGTGTTGCTGCATCTCCTCCATCTTCTCCTTGACACTGGCATACAATTTACTCTCAAACTTGAGTGACTGCAGATGATTCATGTACCGATTGCAATAAAACAAGTATCTCTGGAGTGCTGAACGTGATTTTTGTTGTGTATCCCTGGCAGCTCTGGCCTCATCCTCATCATAACGATTGCAGTGGTACCAGCTGGAGCCATGTGGCTCCCAGGGCCCCAAACAAACCCAACAGAACTCAGTCTTGCAGTTCTGATTCTTGCATACCATGTGATTGCAGCCCCCATCTTTTTCAATAGTGACATTACACTTTGGGCATTCCTTGGTATTGGCAGCGATCCAATTAGACGTTTCGGAATCATCGTCACATTTTTTAATCCACTTGCGTAGGAGATGACATTTAACTGGATCGTGCCAATTTTCACCGCAGTGAAAGCAGAATGTATGTCCACACTTACACGTCACTGGTTTAGCCTCAACGTATTGAACTTTTATTGCGCTGTTGCAGTCCGGTGATGGACACCATCGCAGTAACCTGTTACACTCAACAAAACTGTTTGTAATGAGATGCTGATATTTAAGCTTGACTTTAGAATCCTTCACCAGCCGCATGACACTAGCATCATCAACGAGAATGTCACAAGCATGAGCAGCACACGCTATAGTCTGACCAACCCCTTCTTCCATTATTTTTGTCGTCAAATACTCGCCCCAGCATCCAGCACAGAACCGATGGCCACACTCCAGTCCCGTCATCATGGAAGATGGTAACGTTGTGAAGCAGATACCACACTCCTCGGTGCCATTTGTAGATGTTTTCCTTGACAATGAGCTCTGGGCAGAACGTGATCTACTGATGAGTGCACCTTTGCTAAATGGATTGACAACTCTAGCCTCGGCGAATAATTTCTCCTGATCTCCATCGTAGAATCTCTCCATGAGCTTCTCCTTGTCCCACTTGAAGTGATTCAATAATATTCTAGTTGTCGTTGCTGGTATCTCAACAACTGTATTGACTTCCTTGATGCAGTCCACCATGTGCTGAACAATTTCCTCAGTGGTGAGTACCTCGAAGGGATAATCATCGGCATCATTGGTGCGTTCTCTTAGGTTACCAGGCTCGCACTCCATGGCAAAATCAACGTCATCTCCGCTGGACTCGTTGCCAGAGTCCACCTCGTCGTAGAGAGTTTCCTCGTCAGAGTCCATTATTTTTTTATGTCTCCTCAAGCTGCTAAAAACAACAACAATACAACAAAAAAATCATCGTGAAAATCACATTGGCTCTGTCTGCCAAATTTATTATGATTTTTTTTGTTCTGTTATCATTTAATTTATTATTTTATCTACTATGGCTAGAAATAATTCTAATTGAATAATAAATCTAATATCTTAAATATGTGACATTGCGTCAAGTCTGTCACATCACGTCAAATATCTCGCATGTTGAATAAAAATTTGACAGAACCCGTGGCACAATGTCGAGAAATCCATAACAGAAATAATAACCGTGAGTCAACCGAAATCCCTTGACCCTCCGTCCACAAAATTATAATGGTAATTATGACAGCAGCTCTTATTTTAATGAATAAAACATGACCACATTTCGAGGCTAAGAAAGATGGCACTTGAGGTCTCGATCGACCCAGTTCCCATGCCCTGTTTACACCGAATAAACATTCCCAATTGCAAATGCCATCAGTTCAAACAACAGCATAATAATAAGTACCACAATTCCCCACCCAACTGCCCATTAACACCTGAATAATCAGACATGGACTAATTAAGAAACAACGAAACGCAAATTTCGTCACTTTGTGACGTCAGGGGTAGATAAACGACCCCAAGACCCCAGGAGTTTTCCTCAATTTCCCAAGCAATTTTTCCCGAATTTACCTCGTAAATCAGCACCTGAACCACTGAAATTTCGGGAAAACCTCCTGTATTCCGGGAACAATCGAATAATACTCGATCACTCGGTGGAACACAAGGAAAAAAAAGGAAAGTTCTATCTGACGCACCGAGGACTGAAATCACGGAACTGCCCTGAGTCGATCCCAATCCCTCATGATTCAATTCATGACGAACAGGTGCCGCTGGAATGACATTCTCCCTTCTTTCTTCAGATCAAAATCTTTATTTCCCCTAGTATAAACAATTACGTAAACCTGTAATTGGAGATATCTCCGAGGTTAATTGAAATACGTCAACTGAAAATTTTCACCTCCTGGGGAGACGTTTCAATCACTCAATATTATCTCACATTAATTCAATGATTTACTATAAAAAATAAATAAAGGGAATGTGGTAATGAGTCACCTGGACGGGTTTTAATGACAGAAGTTGAAATTTTTCGTTTTTTTCTGGTGGTTCTGGCGAGGGAAGACAGGATGTACACTGACAGAAATCAGCTGTTGCAGACAAAGCGCGTGAACGCAGTGACAGCAGACGATTTTCTTGGAGAACGGATGGATTTTCACGATTTTTTTTTGTTTTCTCTTTTGGCAAATGATCTTTTATGTTTTGTGATTTTGTGTGATTTGTCTGGAATCACGGGAGGAAACGAGAGGGACTTGAGGGTTTTGTTGGGTTATGTTTTAGAAATTTTTAAAGGTTTTGATGGAATCGCGGTTGTTGTTTTGATTAAAAGGAATTTGGGGAGAATAGGGTCGAATCGTGGAGGGCAGGTACTCACCCAGTTATGAATTAATTAATCCGGGGGTTTTTTGGTCGAAACTGGGGAACGATTAATTGGAAAATCGTTGGACGACGCACAAGATGCGAACAACGACTGGGATAACGGGTCACGGAAAAAACCGATGGCACCCGAGAGAATCGTCGGGACATGCGTATGTGTCAAAAACATTTGGGGTAAGTACCGTCATACGATGGAGAGGAATTGTGTATTTACTAACCTGTCTGTTGATTTTTCTCTATTTTCTTTTATGAGAGGGTAATTGTCTTGAAAATAGTGATTACACTGAGAGATAAATTAATTATCTTTTGTTTCCATAACAGAATGTGTACATTATTATTGTAGATAGATTTTTTAGATCGATCCAAAATAATCCTTCTAATATATATCTCAGCCAGGGATTGATATTGTTTACAGAAAAAAAATATCTTGTGAAAGGCATTTCAAGTCATGAGTATCTTCAGCATTAGTGATTTTAATAGGTAGAAATTTTTTTTTCTCAGCGCATGAGGTAATTTATTAAATCAAAAACCATGAGTTCACCTACGTTGAATGATTATACGATTCTCGAGAAAATCGGCACTGGAAGTTATGCCACTGTTCATAGGGCTGTGAAAAAGGTACGTGGAAGATAATTTTGAAGTATTTTGGGAAATCTTCTGCTCTCAGGAAACCATGAAATTCGAAATTTAAACAAGATTTCCCAAGTGTTTTCTTGTCATTGAAAAAAGTCGTCATCTTTCCTAATTTTTCTCATACATGAGAAAGTTCTTAATTTTCCAATGAGTTATTATACCGGGCACTTTCAGCTGGGAAATATAGATATAGTACAGTGATTTGTTGGTTGCGAAATATTTATTTTTAATTTCATATTCGATTAAAAAATGCAATAGTGAGAGCAGATATTGTTTTGTATTGCATGCAATTAATTAGCGATTGATTACTTGTCTCATAGCCGAGTGTTTAATGAGCATCTCAGAATTCATCAATTGTCATTGATGTGTTGGCATTCACAGGGCGGCAATCGGGAGATTGTTGCAATCAAATGTGTAGACAGTACGAGCCTCTCGAAATCAGCGATTGAGAATCTTCTGTGTGAAATAAACTTGTTGAAAATTCTGAAACACGAGAATATCGTCAGAATGGAAGATTTTTTCTATCACGAAGGGTCAGTGATTCCTAAAATCAAATAAAGTCATTCTTTAAAATTTCAATAAAATTCCCATAAATATTCTAAAATTTTCAACGAAAATTCAAAGATAATTTTCCGAGAAAGCGCTCGGTTTTTCATCTGAAACTTTTTCTATCCTGAAAAAACTAGAGTAGATTATTTATGATTTATGTTTATTGCATTCACATCCCCGAGCAGTCGGATTTATATTGTAATGGAGTACTGCAACGCAGGGGATTTATCCAGCTTTATAAAAAGGAAAAGTCAATTACCGGAAACAGTCTGCCGCAAATTTCTTCAGCAACTAGCCCTTGCACTGAGGTACATGCGTTCTCATAACGTGTGTCACATGGACTTGAAACCGCAGAATTTACTGTTGACCACGAAACCTGTCTTGACACTCAAAGTCGGAGGTTCGTAATCCTCAGGTTCAGAGGGCTATCGTTTTATAGATTATTTTATTGAATTCCGAAATTACAATTTTCCACCTTTACAACCATTGAGAAACCGTAAAACTTGTAGCCAATTTAATTCGAAGTTCTAATGAATCCCCAGCTTTTCGAAAAATTCAATTTGATGAGTTTTTCCCAAATATCTCGTGATTGAAGGGAAATATTGATGTTTTCGTAATTCCCTTTTTTGTAGCTCTCACTTTTTTCTCCAAAAAATGTATAATCAAAAATGTCGCCAACTCCCCTCGATTGCGAGGTATTCGCTGAAAATTTGGTAATGATGGAGAAAAATTAGGCAACTAATTTATGAACTCAGGATGACTGATGATTAATTCAAAAATGTACAGATTTCGGTTTCGCCCAGTATCTGTCGACCTCGGAGTCCAAATTTTCGATACGTGGATCTCCTCTGTACATGGCTCCAGAGATACTTCTGCGTCATGAATATGATGCACGTGTTGATCTCTGGAGTGTTGGGGTGATAATGTACGAATGTCTCTTCGGGAAGGCTCCATATTCCAGCAGTAGTTTCGAGGAGTTAGGCGAGAAAATAAAGACCTGTAAACCAATTGAGGTATTCCCCCGAAATCATTCAACTGAAAATTGATAGAAAAATATTCTCAGCACCCAGAGCAAAAAAAAATTCACAATTAAAAAAGTTAATCTTAAAGTGAATTTGATGATTTCAAGATTTCACTGGATGAAAAATTGGTGTCCAATATTTTTCAGGCGATTTTCGCATTTCAATGTTTAATTTCAATAAAAATTGATTAAACCAACTGGTGCTCTGATTTCTTGAAGCAAATGATTCCCAATCGTTCTTTCTGAATTTTTAGATCCCTAAAGGTTGCTATATATCTCCTGAATGTAAAAACTTGCTCACATCTCTCTTGAAACACGATCCAAACGAAAGACTGAGTTTCGCCGACTTCTTCGGCCACGAATTCCTGGATCTTGCCCACGCACCCACCGAGGAAAACCACGAAAAAGCTATAACTCTCATCCAAAGTGCTGTCAAGGCTGATTCTGAAGGGAACAAGCAGGAAGCCTCCCACCTCTACTGCGAAGCCCTGAGATACCTCATCCCACAATTAACAAGTAATTAGTCAATCCCATTAATCCACGACTTGTAATCGTCCATTGAGGGGAAATCTATGTTTCTCAAATATTTATTTTTCGACTTGCGTCGAATATATGGAATAATATTTCGATGAAAGATCAGTTTCATCTCAGTGCGTTGATCCAAGTGGATTTCCCCAGATGAAGCGGATCCCAATAAGAAAAAACACCTGAGGATGCGCGTTAATGAGTACATTAACAGGGCAGAGAAGTTAAAATTCATGTGCATGAGGAGTTCTAGCACTGAAGAATCGAATTCTCAGAGCAATGATGCCGAAAGGGTCCACAGCCTCCCGAGGAGAACCCTTAGAACCACCTCAGTGCCTTATCGAGAATTACGTACGTATGCGAGATGACAGAATTTTTTTGGCGAGTTAACCCCGGAATTAATTCATTAGGAATTTTGAGTAAAAGTACGACAGACATGGCTTCAGCTTTAGAAATGGGGGAAACAGGGGAACAATATCTCGCAGAGGGGAGTTATGACTTAGCGCTGGAAAGACTCAAGTCATGCCTAGGAATTCTAGTCCCTCTCATCAACAAGGAGCCTCCTGGAAGGAGAAGAGAACTTCTCAATCATCAGGTAACTAGACCTCACGAACTCCAGAGAAAAGTGGAATGTTAAATCCTAAAATTCGATAAATGGAATTGAATTGAATCCAATAAATTGAATTTTTCTCAGATACAAATTTGGATGAAGCAAGCGGAATGTACAAAAGGCCTTTTGGCGACTCAGGTCGTGGATGATTATCCAAAAGAGGTGAAACACCTGCACGATCAATGCTCACTACAATAAATTTTCATTATACACGTAAAAAATAAAAGACTAAAAACAAACTCTTGAATTAGTCCTATTTCTATAAGATAAATATACAAAATATATATGATGGACATAAGATATATAATATATAATATATTTCGCTGAAGTCCTTGAAGTTCTGATCGAAAGCTCATCCCCTCCTGAAGTCTTCCTCTGAAAATGCGACTTCCGGTCGGCCAAATGGACTTTACTCCATCGTGTCGTCATGGAAAATTCCCATTTCCCCCTCCCCCACATTGCAATTACCCCCCCAAAAGCTCCCCTTCCCCAGAAAATTCTCCTCCACCCCCCACCCCATCGCCAGTACATAACTCATTTGGAACAGCACCGGAAGTGCGGCAACATCGCACCCCAGTACATAAGGGCCATAAGTCGTGCATTCCCGGGGCTCGGATTGGTCAAGCCAAGGGGGGCGGTAAGTACATGGTAAGCATATGGAAATATGGCAACACTGCCCCCCCATTCAAATACCAAATAGAAATTCTACGTGCAGTTGTCATGCGCCAAAGGATCGTAATCCTTTTTCCAATTGCACAAAATAATTAGTTTATCAGAATAATTGGCGTAATGATTAATTTAACAAACATTAAATTTGTTAATTAATGAATCATCATGAATCAAAACATATGAATCCAATATTCCAAATGCAATGAAAATGTTTTTTTTTTTGTTGAGTATCGATTGATCGAGAATTAAATTAAATTTCCAATTAAATTTCGCATTCGAACAATGCTTATTTACTAGCACTTATTCCCAAGTAAATTCATTATTGACAAGTAATTGAATTTGGGGAAAGTCGAAATCAATCACTTTCACGATTGCCATAGTAAATAGTAAATTCTTCTTCCTGTATAAATTCCTCAACTTCAATAAAATCTCTGTATTCGAAATGTCTCTCTAGATACATATACATGAGTAAATGCGTGCGTTAATTCCAGTAATTTCCGTGCATTACCATGTATTTGGAGAGAGTAATGACTTTTACGAGTGCTATTGCAAAAGATTAAGTTTTTGAGGCGCGCACTCGCGCACAAGCTTCACTTCCCCCACTGCTCCTTATGTACTAGCGCTTATATACTTACGGGTGGACGCATGAAAAACACAAATGTGTCTGTCAGTCAGTGTGTGTTTGCCGGTGTTTGCTGATGTTACACTGGCAGTTGCGTATCGTATTGTTATTATCGCGTAGCGCAATTGTTTCAATTTCGTGAGTTGGTGTACAGAGACTTTTTGGGGGGGGGGGAATAAATGTCGTTGAGGTGCAATTCTGTGCCGGCAAGTGTGTGGTTAGATTTCAATAATGTGTATGGATGTACAATCTAACAACATGGGAGATAGGAGTCTCGACGATGATGTGCAGATTGTCAGGTGTAACGTTGACAAAAGTAAGATGTTATTTTTTTTCTCATCTGCCCTGTATTTTTCTGTCCTTCAATTCACCCTACGAATTTTCCTCGGATTTATTATTGTTTGGCATTCTGAATTGTGAGGTTATGTTAATGCGTCATGTGCGCGCGGTTTATCCTGGCGAGGGGTTTTGTTGTGGGAACGACAACGTGGCTTTCTCATTTAGATTTTACAGTCTCATCACATATTCTTCATTTATTGATATTCGCGTTATGCTGAGTTTCGTCGGATTTTTTCATTGTTTCTCTCCGACCAGGGGTTTTCCTGGTGAAAATTCGTGAATTAGTCGATTCATGTTCACCACTGAGGTTTTTACGTTACGGATAGAAGTGATAGTCCTATTTTTTCTCTCGTTGTTGACAGCTTACAAACTGCATCGACCGTTGTGGATTCCTGTGTGATACTCTCATTGTTTTGGTTTCGAATTTCACAGAAGAAAGCGAGAATCTCGCATTTGAGGGAGGAAAACATTTCCATTGTGAAAGCAATGAAAAGGAGAATAATTAAATTGATGTGGACAGGCTCTAATAATTTCGTAGTGAAGTAGTACCAAGAGATGATTTTACGATTTTATTGCAATTTTTGGTAATTCTGGAATTACCAAAAGATTTTCCCCCAAAAGATTGTTCTCGAATTTTCAAGATAACTTGATACTCGTCAGTTTTATTCCTCATTTAAATTTATAATAATAAGGAGAATTTTTATTCCAGTGGAAACTTCACGTGATCAATAATTCTTTTTATTCACCGATCTTACAAAAAAATAATACAAAAAATGTGACGGGTAGCCAGGAATTTATGGTAAATTTCTATTCAGTCATTTTTTTTTATTCCGTCATTTTCACATCGAATACATTTTATCTAGAAATTGAAATATTACCAGATGTATAAACAATTGTTTTATCGCTTTTTCTTGCTTTGTCAAATGCTATCGCGAAATTTATAATTGTTATTTTTTTTTGTCCAATTTCTCCGAAGTGGTTACCTCATTCTCATTAAACAATTGAGCCATTCTTAATAGTTTAAGAAAACCAGATAAAAATCTCAGCGTCACCCAAAACCCACATTTTTTTGTATTATTCTTTTTTCAACCTACAGTACTTTTCGAATAAAATAAATCCATGCATTTAACAATTTAATTGTTACATCAAAAATTTCGGTTCTAAATTTTGATTCAAGAAATTATTTTCATTATCCAAAACGCTGAATAATTTCCTTCGACGCTCATGAAAAATTTCCCTGTATTGACCACATATTTTCGTTCAATTTTTTTGAAATCGACGATTTGAGTGAAATTTCTATAATTCAAAAATTATTTTTCTGTCCAACCGCTGAACGCCTCGAAAGAAGTGCCGCAGTAACAGCACAGCCTGTGCCCCTGTACATAATGTACCCTTATATACCACATCCCACCGATAAATGATGTAACAATACCTTCCGAATACCACCGACAACCACCGATATCTCCCGAAGTTCCAGTTCCCTCGTTTTTTAACCTTAGGGTACTTGACACGTACTGCGCCGACGCGTCGTTCTCGTGTCACCTGGTCGCACTGAAGGCCGCCATTTGCAATATTACAGAAAACCATTCGAAATGACGAAACCCCCCCTTTTCTCATGCAAAATCCCCAATTTCCGAAAATTCCTCCATCAATCGCACCAATTCAATCCATCAATTTTCCATTACCAATTCAAAAATTCAATCCGCACAAGAATAATTTCCCCTGTATTTCCATCACCGTATACAGTATATAAAATTCCATAAACGGTAAATGTCTAATATAACACCGTCACCTCCCATAAATTCATATGAATTCCTATATTTGCATACATTCATGAAGTACATAAAGTACTTAGTACTTGTGCCATATCTTGAGTGCACATCCGGTCGCCATATTGTTCTTCGGAGCGACTCGCTCCCCCTACATACCCCCCCTTTTTCCGTCCCGTTTTCCCCCCCTTCTACCGCACCCCTTCCCCTCTCTCACCCCCCCGCTTTGCCTGCTAGGAATGGAACTACGCTTCAAACTCGGCATAGCAACAGCAGTAATAGGGATCTCCTATAAATAGATTGTCGGCATTGGCTTGGCAACGTTGCCAAATCCAACACTGGCCCCAGGTGGGGCTTCAAGGACGCCAATGGGCAACGTCGCAACGTAACGGCAACGTTGCAACGCAAGACGCTCACAAATTTCCAGATGATTCTATATTTGCCGTACGACCTCATGCTTTATCTCTCTCACGCACCGGAAGTAATCGATGACTAATGCAGTTAATCATCATTATTAATTACATAGATCCCCCTCTCCCCCGTCGAAGGGGCGCAAAAGAGGGGGTGGGGGTGCGGTTTTTTCTGGTCATCGATTGGAATTTCTACATTTCCTATTGATCAATCGTAAACGCGCACTTTCCATGTCCACAGTTCCGGTATATACTGGTATATAGTGGAGTATATGGGGTATGTATGTGGGGAAATGATTGTGAAGTGCCGAGTGGGCGTGACCAGACGCCAGGTGAAATCCGGCAACGTCGCACGGTAAATCATGATTAAAATAATAAGTTTAGTACATAGGGAGTATATGGGGGAGGGGGGAAAGTACATAGGTAGGAGGGGGGGTAGGTGCGCGAGAGGATTTTTGATGATGGAGGGGGGCAGATCTGCGCAGGTTCTTTACTCCCACCTCGGGTATAGATTACCCCCCCACGTTGGGAGGGGGGGATCCAGTGCGTTCCAGGCATTTACCCCAGGGGGAAGGGGCGGATGGTGGACGAGAGCGCAGGGGGGGAAATACTCACCTGAAACTGCAGGCTATGTACTGGCTATGTACCATGTATCTACCGTACGTTTGCCAATCTTGGCACTTCGCCTCAAAAAGCATATCGACCGTGCGACGTTGTCACGTTAACCGGGGATTCTTGTTCCTGGTCCCTGGGCCACTCTTTGAGCTGCGTGTACTCATTTCAGTCCCTTTTTCATATTCTGCGTTTTATTTTGAGTTATCTATATTTTTTTTAAGATTACCGGATGAGTCATTAAAGATATGTTAGAATTACAGACAGATCTGTTTCAGATTGCATTGATTGGGGAATTCGGAATTCAATGAAAAATTAATATTGTTATTAGCATGGGAGTTGGGATTTTGAAATTCATTGTCTAGCTGCAGGTTATTGTGGAATTTATTATTTTAATTAGGCGGAAAATGGCTGTAAAAATTTTTAGCAGGAATTAGTTGAAAGGAGTTGAAATTCGGTGGAGAATTGGTATTCGTAGATGAGAGATCTGTATTCAGGGTACGGAATATTTTTACAAATCCTCAATTAAATTCTGCCATGATATTTCCAATATATTCCAACTCCCACCATTTTGAAAGTGAGAATAACGGAATAGTGTCCAATTACTGTATTTTTTTTTCTAGTTGACGCAGTTGACATACAAATCTGTCAATTATCCCCTTTTTTAGAGTAGAAAAAATCCAATAATAAATTAATGCAAAATCGCGAAAAGCGAATCAAATGATTTCTAGTGGGAATTTCATGAAATTTTAATTTTCAAAAATTAACATTATTTCCATTATTACTGCTTTGTTTTTCGTCAGCATGAAAAATCTCCAAGGGTAGCCAATAAAATCGGTTATCTTCAATGTTAAAGTGGTAATAAAAATTGTGACGAAATATATTTATAGTCCACAAAAAAATTCAATTTGAATAAATTACAATCCTCGACGTTTCGTCAAAAAAATCAACAAAGCATGATTTTTTTATACTCTTACAAAACGCATGGGATTTCAACAAAAATGATGAAATAGAGTTCCTCAAGGATTCTCCTCTCATTAAAATCTTTAAATTTATCTATTTAGGCGGAAAAACCTTGAGAGAAAACTAAAACGGTACAAAAAATGACGAGGAAGTCACAGAACGTCTCAAAAAAGTAAATATTTACACGAGTTAAAAAAAAAATCCCCAAGGAAGGAAATTCGAATTCGAATTTCCCCTCGAATTTCCTCTGAACGCTCAAAAATTGAAATTACAAAAAAAAAAAAATTAAATTAAGAGCAAAAGCTCTACAGCAGTAGAATGATGAGAAAAATTTTAACTGACATTGACCAAAAAATACAATCACCAGTGGTTTCTGAACTATTTTTGAAATGCCCATGTTTCATTGAATTATTTCCCTGAAAAAAAATTGCCCAAAAAAATACGCAGATCAAAAATCACCTATTACACCTCTTAATAATATTGATATAACATCAAAGTTAAATTTACAATTACTTGAAAAGTGATATTTGTTAAACTTTCACTGTACAATATGCAGATAGAAAATCCACCATTGCACCTACTAGTATCATTGATATACTATTATCATATACTATATATTTTTCAAAATATTTCATGCCCCCTAGGGCACGGTTACATTCGCTTTTTTTTTAAACAATGACAATGTCAAATTTTGAAAAACTCAAGGGCCGAATATAAAAATTATGCGACTACTTGCGCGCCACACGAGGCACTACTGGGCGGTAAACCCTTAGTCGTAATAGAAATACAGAACGAGACAGAAGTACAGGCCCTCCTGAAAGTCCGATTAATGTATCAATAGTACAAGTTAAAATCCACCATCCCAGCACTAAAAAACTCAAAAATTCTCTGACCCCTGAAAAAAAAATAGTCACTCGTTTGGAAATGCCAGTTAAAAAAGCTGCGCCCGTGAAATTCAACCGCCTGAAAGTTTCATTTTCCCAAGACTTGTAAAACTGTTGTACGCGTGGGTACAGTACATGCAAAAAGTTTGTTTATCAAGTGATTCAATGATACAATCCTCCGCAGTATAATGCACATCAGTCTGATTAATTTCAGTATTATTCATCATCATTTTAACCCCTTGAACCTCAACCAATTCTCCTCATAGTGCCTAAAAAAAATTGTGTTGTCAACTACTCGATGTTTAACGCAAAAACAGGAGTAGGTGTAGTTTCCAGAGAATTAGACGCCATCTGTTCCTCGATATATTACCCAGTGACTTTGTCGATAGATTATTGATTACTTTTGGTTATGTTTTATTTCGTTGTTATTAATCAAGCGAAGTGCTTCCGTACTGATCATTTTCAAAAAAATATCATCTCCAAAACTAGAGGTTCAAGTGTCGGATGGGAAGGGAGGAAAAATCGTTAATTTTCTCTAGAGATTTCTCGTTTTTTCGTGTGTGTTTGTTGGGAATTTTGTGATATGCCACAGCGTGGTAGTGAAATTTTTTGGAAAAAAATGTTGGCTGGATTTTTCGAGTCTCGGTCAATTTGTCTGACTTCACGGAATGCGAGATTCAGTTGTCATTGAACTTTGGGAATTCGGCGCGATGACACGGAGCTGTGATTTTCGAGGATTTTGAGTCGGGAGGGTCTTGAATTTTTTTTTTTGGTTTTTTTAGAGGGGGTCTTGGGGCTGGGGTAGTGTTTTTTGGAGTACGAGGTTGATATAACGGTTGGAATTTTGATGTGACCGTTGAAATAGTGTTTGTGGATAGTGTACCGTGTGAAATCTCGATGTTACCACCGTTGTCACAGGGCCCAGATGCCCTGGAATTGGATATTCCTGGTTGACAGATCATCGCCGGTTGTTTTCCCGTTTTTTGGGAATTTTTTTGGCAAATTTAGAGGACCATGGCGTTGTCAGCTAATGATTGTGATTTGGTCCTCGCCAGGTTGACAGCTAGAAATGGTGATACGCCCGGTTATGATACGTGTAGGTGATTTATTCAGGGTTTTCTCTTTTTTGGGGGTAACCAGAGATATCTGAGAAGCTTTGGGAACAATTTTGAAGGGTCCAATCGGCTTTTAAAGCCTCAAAATGTGGGGACAGTAAAGACAAATTATTGGCAATTTTACTCTGTTGTTCTCGAGATATTAAAGGTTGCAGCCGGTGAATGTTTGAGTGAATTTGAATTTTTCTCACTCGATTCCACATTTTCTGAAAAAATTATTCTATTTTTCGGATTAATTAATTAGTTATTTCGTTCATGCAAATTGGAGAACGGTCATATCTTTTTCCTCAACAACTCCTGACCATTCGTTTATAAAAAATTAATGTTGGATTATGTGATTCCAGGGCCACAGGAAAAAGTACCTGTGAAGCAAGAGCGCCCAGATGAAGCGGAAATCCGCGAATTGGCTGCCAAAATGGTGGAAGCAAACAAAGCGAAAATGTTAACTTCGATACCAGGAGTATCCCAAAGACCGACAGGTGGTCAACAGGCTCTTCCTGGTATTCTCGGTTATTTAAACAAAAAGCCAAATGACTCAACAACCCAACAAGCATCAAAATCCCCCTCAGTCGATGGTAAAACACCACTGGACGACGACAGCCAGCGTGGGAGATTCGGTTGGATAACATTTGATAAATGTCACATCCCTTACATATACCGAAGTGGTGAAAAGTACTGTGCTGTTAGGATACTTGAGGCAAAACTACTCAACAAGTACCTGAACTACTTGCACTCGGATATATACAGTTGTACATGTATAAAGAGTTACTTCATCACCGAGGCTGAGAGTAAATTATTTAATGAGATTAACAACAAACACTGTGAGAACCAATTTGGTAAGGAACAATTTACATGCAAAGATCTTGTTGTTAGATTGTCTGATGCCAAAGAATTCTACACATTTCTCGACGTTTGTTATACTAAATTAACGAGTCAAAATGTCAATACTGGACAGAAGGGGGAGAAGTGCGGTTTCATTCGTATTAATAAGGAATCAGTGGTACCGTACACTGTTAAAGACAATTTGAAGTATGTGCCGCTATTTTATTTTGAGGGTGAAACGGACAATCTGAAACTTAAAGCCGAAAAACTCGAGGGATGGGACTTGTCTTATCTTAAATTTTGTTGTAAAGTACAGGGTATACGTAATGAATTATTTGCTAGTGAAACGTGTTCAGTGATAAGTTTGAGTGACATTAAGAGTTATTTTCCACCTGGTACTGGATTTGAGGATTATTGGCCGAGTAAAGTTATGGATTCACAGTTATTTGTTAGTGGTAAGGGTGGAGCTAGTGCTGGTGGGTGGACAAAACAACCACCAGCACCACCAGCTGTTAGTAAACCAGTTGCTGTTGTCAATAATGCTAGTAGCAAGACAGTCATCAATGCTAGGACAATGCAGTCTGTACCAAGGAGTACAACTGTTAATACAACGATACATCATATTAATCAGACTAGGCCTGTTACCACACATCCTGGGCATGGATCACCTAATACCGCTAGAACACCTACCAATGCTCAAATTCTCAATCCTGTTCCTAATGCTGTCAATGGGTGGTCTGGACTCGTTGGGGAACAGCCAACTTTTCAAACTATCGTACCTCAGTCCAATTCCATTATCAGAATGCAGAATCCATCTCTCAATATGCATAGCGTGAGTTATTAATTAATTTATTCTTTTATGAGTGCATTTGGAAGTCGATTAGATTCTCACATTTCAGTTCTTCTAATCTCAATTAATTCCAGAAATTTTCCGCGTTGGATAACACATATTTGGGGGGAAGATTATCAAGTCAAATTTTTTTCATAGATATTTCTTGAAAATGTGAATGAATGTGTGAGAACAAAATAGTTAATCCGGGGTTTTTTTGAAATTCAGATCGATGATTTCGCGTTGCCGGTTAATTTTATTTCTTCTAAGTAGTTCCTTGACTTTGTGAAATCATTCCGGAATTTTTTCGAGGCCCTGAAATAAATAATAATTATTACTGCAGCCAATGGCGACGTCCAAAGGATATTCCCAGCAACCAAGGAGTAGACCAAACAGCAATGCCCAGTCTGGACAGTATCCAGTTTATCCTGTGTCTACGATGCAAAATGTAGCGCAGGCACCTCCGCCCCTTGTTAGGGCGACAGCTCATTCTAATCAACCAAATCTGGGGTAAGCAGTCCTTTATCTTCCCCTTGACAACAGACATTTTCATTATTTGTGTTTGTTTCTTTCATTGCATTTATCAGTTACTTTGCGCTTAAAAAATCACTCCCGAATTAATTATCCGATTGTTTAGTTCTATTGATAACAGAAGTAGGAGGTGTGTATTTGTATTTGAGGATATAGTGAGGCCTGGGTGATCTATTTTTCGAAGCGGAGGTTTATTCAAAACTATTGATTTCACGAGAAAATATGAAAAGGACTTTCTGTTTCCAAATTTATTTAGCTACAAACAAGTGCGTAAAACTTTTACTATTGAATTGATATTTTTCCAGATAAATGGGTATTTCAGTAAAATGTTAATCTCACTTGAAACCTTTGTTACTCAATTCTGCTCCAAAGAATCGATCACCTGATTAATAATCTAGCATGACCCTCACGAGTACAATCGTAGATTTTTGGTTCGATCAAATATTTAATTAGTTGGGTAAGAAATATTCGCATTCCTCTCCCATAACTTGCCATTATCACTCTCTCGATCATTCTTATAAAAAAAAAATTGCAATTCAAGTCTATCCAGACGTAGTTTTATCATCCTTATACATACAATGTCTATTTTCTTTTCTTTTTTTTTTAATTTTGTTTGTGTAGTTATCCAACCTATGGGAAGGATGACTGGTGAGTTCCTGCATACTGTACCTGACTATAGTATTTTATTGATGCATTGAATTGCTAATAAATAGCATGCTCATTACTGACATTGGCAAAAAGGATAATGAAATGATATTGCACCGATTAACTTATTGTCCATTAATTTTTACTCGGTGCTGGATATTTTAGCTAAAACTGTCGAAAAGTGAGATAAATTAAATTTTACAACTCTATATATCGAATGATCTCAGAAGTTAAACTTTTCATTAAATTGTATATTTTTCCTTCAAATGCCACAAGAAATTTTCTCTTGGAAATTTAATCCGCTATGAAAAATTTCCTTGGCATTTTCATCGTGCATCAATAGTTATCGAAATAAACCCATAATGAATGAAAATGTTGAATTATACATATTTCACTTTCGGCGTTGGTGACTGAAATTCTAGAAAAATATCGGTGTTGGCATGCTCGAGATTATATTAACTGGGTTATCGCCTAGTTTAATAAATTATAACATGCATTTTGAATATTTGCTTTTTATTAACTCGAGAGGGAATTGAGGGGGTATCGATTTTTATAAAAATGTCTGACCCAATTTGTTCAGGATGGGAGCAACGTACACGACATCAAGTCTAGTGCAAAATGCTGTAACAGCCAGCACCTATCCCCAGATGCTGAATTTGAGTACTGAGCAGGTGCAGGCACTGCTGCATCCACCAACATCATCGGCTATTATGCCGCATACGCAGCGACATACACCACCGGCGCACAATACCTCGCATCCCAAGTATCCTCCACCATTGATACCAGTCAATGGAAGTTCTAACAGTACGAGGTGAGACAAATTATTCTTCATATTGCTCACATTACTGAGATTACTCAACATTCAAAGCCCTCTGATATCTCCCCCTTAGGTCTACAATTCCCCAGATAAGCCTATAATAAAAGTTAAATTCTGAATTTTATTTTGTAAAACATTGATGAAGTTACAATGACACATAATAATGTTGTGGTGTTAATTATGTGATTGCAGAGATTCTCGAGGGAGGAAGGCCCTAATCCCCATCGCTGAGACGATAGCAAGCTGTCAAGTCCAGCCATATGGAATTCAGAAGGCTCTCGTCGATGAGAAATTGGTGCCGTGTATCAATTTCAAGCCCTACATTTATTCCGAATTGCTTATGACATTGCCGGACTTTGTATTCCAATTTTTTCCCAACGCTGATATGAATAACTGCAGGGAAATTCTCAGTGATGTCTTGGGGGTGGATTTATACCAAGGAAACAGGTGAGAAAATCAATGAAAATAACGAATATAGTAATATACAATATAGTATAAAGTGGTAATTAAGAAATAGTGAATTATTAAAATTCAACGATGATAATAAAATATTTGAATTATCAATCGTAGACTACAAATGAAGAAACTGATGGAGGCTGGCAAGTGTACCTCGATGAACGAGGAATTGCCACTGATTCAAGTACGAAATATAATAAAGTACATGCCGCAGATGAAGTACATGTTCAGGAGTATGGGTATACCAGCAACAGCTCATTCATCCGAGGAACATCCCCCTAAAAAAAGACAGCGTACCAGCTAGGATTGGCTCCAGCCTTACTGGCCCACATACGATTACTATCACTCGGCATTTTAATCAGTGCTGTTTGTCCAAGTGCTGTTGTGGCACGTTTAATTGAGTTTATTCATTTTCATTTTATTTTTCATCCCTTGAAGAATAAACGAAGAGATCATCGTACCCCTAAGGCTACCTCAACGAAAGAGCATTTTCTATTTTTCTTTTCAATTCTGATCAGTACACAGTGGAAATATTACGTGACTCATAATTTTGGCCATAATGAATTGGTTGAAAAATTGACTGAATGGAATTTTCAGTGATTTTTGCGAAGTAAAATCAGAAGAATGAGTTCCTGAAGGCGAATATTAATTCGTGGGAGATAAAATTCAAGTGGAAATGAGAGAAAAATTGAGATGATGATTCAATGAAGGAAGAGGAGTCGAAATGAATAATAAATAAAAATAAATGGACGGAGAACGTGCCACAATGGAGGATGTGTACATAAATTCTGGACATTACGTTTGGAAAGTGAGAGGAGTGGGTTAATTTTATACGAGTGAGTAGAAGAAAAGGCTCTAATTTCAAGTTAATAGTTCGAGAATTAAATGACAGGTCGGGCAGCTCAAACAAATGGTCTTCCGTTGTGAGCTTCATTTCCCGTTTAAGAGATAAATTTTCGACGTTAGGGTTGACCAGAAATATCAGTTCGTTCAAGTAGTGAAGAGGTGAGTTGGAGCACGTCGAGTTTTGCGGAAATATCTCGACATCTGTAGGAGATAGAGAATTTCCCATCAGGATGCCTTTTATAGGGTTGATTGAAAGCTGCAAAAAAGGTATCCACAAAAATTTTGCCATCTACCTCAGATCCAGAGATATTCAGGTTACCCTCCACCTCTTCCCTGTTGAATCGATCCAGCTTGATTTTCCATTAACGATAAACGTGTGACGAACATAACTCAAGACGTTCCTGTGCTCTGACAAGTGTATATAAGAGTTGAATAACTGAAATCAATACACGATGAATTTTCATCGATAAATGCGGGGGAATAAATAAATGGTGTGTGCTGGAAGGGTGATTAAACCCTTTGACTATCCTGTTACAGTGAAAGAATACATACTAAAGTGGTATATTTTATTATTCATATGGATATTGTAGACTTGAAGACGCAGAAATCGAGGAACACAAAACGTTAATAATCGTATTGCCATTGACAAGAGACTACGATGGACTGGCGTCTGAATCCATTCATGTATCATATCTTGAATCTTCATTTTTTACACTCCAAATTAGTACTACGAAATTAATGGGAAAGGGGGCGGGGAAATGACAAATGTATAAAGTTGGTAAGGGGGTTATTCTGGTTTTTCATTATCTGGGGAGTTCTGATAAATTTTTCATTAATTTCAATTTTGTATTCCTGACGATGAAGTGGTTGGTGGATGGGTGGAGAAATTATTCGAGAGAATTTTCGTAAATAATGGGTACGCGAATCTCCGGGGGGAAAAGAAGCTCTGCAAGGCACCAGTCCACGATTTAGAGAAAAAAGTAAATTGTGAAAATGAAGGTGTCAAGCCTTCGGTTCTAAGTATATTTAGATTAGAGCGTCTATTTGTTGATGGAAGGGGAGGGGAAAATAATTGTTATGATAATTACGTGTACTATAATTTATCATACTATCATCTGTATATATAGCCTATGAAAAAGTAATTAGGAATAATAGATATTTCAACAAATAAATTCATGATATGAAGACTTGTTGTTTATTTTTCCCCAGTTCTCAGGAGTTCAGTTTTTATTTTACTTATCGTGAGGGGAGCAATAAAATCGTCATATTTTTTTTTTTGCTTTAAGATATTGAAATTTTCCTTGGAAACAAGATGCAAAGCATTTTATTTGATTCCCTTCTCCAGCAGTAAAATGATGGTGAAATATTTGAAAAGGGCACAGGAAGGGGAGAGGGTACAGATGCAGAATTTTTTCCATTTGAAATTCCACAGGATGTGGCTTCCCCCTTCCACTCGTTCTACACTCGGTTAAATCTCAGTTAAACAAATAAAAAACAAGAAGCATTCATACCACAGAAAATAAAATTCACCCCGTCGACTTAATGGACACCCCAGCATTGCAATAAAAACTTGGTTAATAAAAAAAAAACACCCCAGCATTGCGTCTGGCGCCCTCCCTTTCTTGGGGTGCAGTACTACGATGCCGCTGGGGTCACTCAAACCCCCAGAACTGAACCTCTACTTCAGTCAAATCCTCTTTGGTGTCACCTATGGCAAAAACTTCGGCACCGGCAATAATCGAAAACAGCCGATAGCCCCCGAAGTGTCCCCAGTCGTAGTCGCCATTTTCAGGAAAGTGGAAGGCTAATACCGTGCATGTGTGTCTCTTCGGGTCCCCATTTCCACCAAAAATAGACAAATTTTATTTAGTTTTTTTTTCGTTGTATATTAACAAAACCGACAATATACCAACGACCCCAAAAGAATCGGAAACCCCAAGTTTTAAAAGTCAGTGGTTTAACACCCAAATGGCTTGCTTGAATACACTCAAGCAGGAGATAAAAACTCTTGAGTCTGTCTTCCCAAAGAGCCATGAGAGATTTCAGATAATGTCTGCTAGTGTCGACGAGCTTAGTTGTAGATTCGTCGGTAAAAATGGAAAGAAGTACGAAATACATGCCAATATCACAGTGAGTATACTGGAATAAATTGGTTTTATTGAAATATTTCGTGTAGTTAACGTCAACGCCATTTCCCGTATCAATGTTTCACTTTTATTCTCCTCACGAACCAATCGGACAAAGAAACAATAACAATTCAGGGTTTCGATTTTCAATTTTACTCTGGGGGAACTTGATAATATTTGCCCATGATAGGATCCTCTATTGTTCTTGTTCTCTATGTTGAAATTAGGATCGTTGGTATTTCGAGGTAATTTTTGGCAATAAAATCGATTGGTGAAACTCATTTTGGGGAAACAGTGAAAGGATCGGGGAGGGGGCGGGCAAAAGGGCGGTGGGGTGCGGGCAGGGGTTCACAGCAGGTCAATGCGTACCGTTTTTCGAGGGTAAGGCCCTCTCTTTACATTTACCCTCTAGCTATCTACCAAGGGGTCACCGTTGTCAAGAAAACATGTGGACCTTCCACATACCACTTTTCCAAGAATCCCCCAAATTCTCATCATCTTCCATTTCTTCCTCTGCACTCTCCACTTATTTAATATTTACTAGGTCTTTCTCGTCCTCAATCTCTTTTTTTACTCTCAACTATCTTGAGAGTAAAAATATTCGGTTGGAGAATATTCTAGTCAATTTTAATACCAAGGAACTTCTATAATCCATCGATAAATCCAATGATGCATTATTAATTAGCAACTGGCAAAATTAAAAGTCAGGACGAATCACGAGGTAATCAATGATTTTATTTTCAGGAAACGTATCCATCTACTCCTCCTGTATGGTTCGCGGAATCTGAAGAGACCAGTGTGACAAATGCTGTACAGATACTCAGCAACACAACGGGTCGTGATAACCATGTTATTAATCAAGTAGGGATATTGTTAAAAGAGTTATGTCGGCTGCATGCTCTGCCAGAGCCACCGGACGTTGAGAGACTCAGGACAGCACTGGATCCACTTCGACTTGGAGGGACAAACGATGTTGTTGCACAGGGCATGGAAGCTGAGGACACTGAGGAGATTGAAGAGGACGAGGACAGCGAGTCAGAGGAGGATTTACATTTGGATATGGATGAAGGAGAAGCCAATGCGAAGAGTAAGGTACGTTCACTCAATTTCATTATACTATTGCCACATTAATAAGGAATAGTTTTGGTCGTTTATTCAGTCATGTATTCGGACTTGGGAAGAATTTAATTGAGTTATTGGTGGAATTGCAGGCTGATGACATGGATCTGGAGCACCTAGCAACATTAGAAAGGCTGAGACAAAATCAGAGACAAGATTATTTGAGGGGCTCTGTATCTGGGAGTGTTCAAGCAACCGATAGACTTATGAAGGAACTGCGGGATATTTACAGGAGTGACAGCTTCAAGAAAGGTTAAAAGAATTTTGTAGGAGTCGTGGGACTAGCATCATCTGTTTACACTTTTCATATTTCCATTTTTCATCTATTCGCAGGAATGTACAGCATAGAGCTGGTGAACGAAAGTCTCTACGAGTGGAACATCAGACTCATGTGTGTGGATCCTGACTCTCCCCTGCACAAAGATCTAGTTCTCCTGAAGGAGAAAGAGGGAAAGGACAGTATCCTTCTGAACATGATGTTCAAGGTAGGATTTTCACTAGCCACTTGGAACTTTTTGCGATGAATTTTTTGAGGTCTTCTGATTTTTTTAAATGGAAATTGCTTTTTATGAAAAATGTATACTGTGTTTTTCGGTGAAGAAATTTTTACGATATTATTACGGTTTTTACGATATCACGTGGATTTTTATATCGAGATGCTCATCTTGTAACCCTGGATTAAAAATTGCAGGAAACTTATCCGTTCGAGCCACCATTCGTACGTGTCGTTCATCCTATAATATCTGGTGGCTACGTGCTCGTGGGTGGTGCTATTTGTATGGAATTGCTCACTAAACAGGGATGGAGTTCAGCGTACACTGTTGAAGCTGTTATAATGCAAATTTCGGCGACGTTAGTTAAAGGAAAAGCCCGGATACAGTTCCAGGGTGCAAGTGGAGCTGGCAAAGTGTGTGGTGGACAGGGACAGTACAGTCTGGCACGTGCACAACAATCATTCAAATCTCTAGTTCAAATACACGAAAAAAATGGTGAGTTTATTTTCCAGATTTTTTGTAAAGTTCAATTTGTTCTGAAATTGAGTTCCAAAAAGCAAAAATAATTATAATGAAAATGAAAAAATGAGAAACAAACGATTTTATTAATTTCAGGGTGGTTTACGCCGCCGAAAGAGGACGGCTAATGGTGAGAGAAAAACAAAGACAAAACCCAACCAACAATTGAACGATAAACAAGAGAAAAACAACAGTAACTTGTGAAGATGAATCTGACTATGACGCGTGCTTATTATTGAGACTCGAAGTAACGATTAAACAAAGGAATGGCGTTACGCCGAAACAAATAATTATTACGATAATGATTTGATACACAAACACGAGAAACATTAATTAGGTAAAACTTAAGGATAAACAAGAAATTATTCATAACGCTTAATTCGCCGTTCATTTTGTCATTTTATTTTCTCTTGTGTTTCCATTGTTTTTTTCTTTTTTTTTCCTTTCTTCACCGAAATTTCTGTGCAAAAACTATGTTTGGTATTCTGTGAGCATAGATTTCGATGATTGTATGGACACTGGATCGTTATAAAATTCACTCAGTATTTCTTGTATTTGTTAAGAACGTGTTGAAAGGGCTGGATTGCTCTTCTCGTTTTGTTTGTTATGGAGAATAAAGGAAAATTAACAAAAGTACAACAACGATGAGCGATCTAGTTCAAATGTTAAGGATTTACGTCGAATTCTTTGCCTACGACTTTCATGATTTATGCCCATTCGTTTTCTCGAATAAAACTGGAAGTGAAATTATGAAGGGAGACAAACCCGCCAATTTCTTTTAATAATTACCCATTTATCTCGAAAATTATCGACTTTGGATAAAAATGTTATAGAACATTTTTCGAGTTGATTAGAATCTCTATAAAAAAAGTCTTTTCACATTTTTCCCTGAAGCCGATGATTTTCGAGATAAATCCATGTTTACCGGAAACCCGGAAATTTACACTTGTCTCATTTTATAATTTCACGACCGAAGTTCTCTTTTTTTTTTATCTCGTTTGAGGGCTTTCGATGAATAAACGAGAGAAGATGATGACTGATATAAAATTTTCCCCTCAACTGCGATGTATTTTCTACCCCCTTTTGTTTTCCCAGAGAATTTTGTTAGCGAGGACGAGAATTGAGATAAATTTCATTTTCTCAAATGAATCACGTCAACTCCCCTCAATTAGTTGTTACGAAAAAAAAAGACCATTGCGTTTGGAGGGAAAGGGTTTTAGTGTAATTAAGCGATATTTTTTTACGTCATGTGACGATCGAATATTTTCTGATAAAGCGAAAAATGAAGATGAAAAAAAATATTGTGTTGTGCTGTTTACGAATACTCAGTGCAATTAGTAACAGACAATTGTATTAAGTTCTACTGCGAATTAAAACATGAGGAAATTTTTCCGATTATGGGTTGTGTTTCGTATGAAAAAAAAATGAAGAAATAATAGTAGTTATTATAGTTATAAGCCTTGCCAAAGCTCATCGTTGTTCACATCCTTTGAACTCGAGTTATTTGTAACTTTTTGTGTATCAAGTGCATTCCTTATTGGTTAATTTAATGAGAGGTGTCATAACTGCAGACGAGCGTTATGGATGTACATAAAATACGTAAATGATAGTGTAACTTCACTCATTATATTTTCTTTCATTTTTCCTCCCCTTCATGTTGGAAATTCACTGCAGCTTCTCCTTATTTCACAGTTTCGGGGAGAAGATGTGTAGAATCGGAAAAAAAACGCACGAATTTTCAGTGTAGTTTAGGGAAATGAATGATGGATTTCATTAAACATTTTCATTTTTGCTGAGTGAATTGGTCACCTGAGGGTCAATTTAATTATTCTGTTTTTCGTTGTTTATTGTTGTCAATCAGTTGCAATGGGCGATGGAATTATTGTAAACTGCTTGGGCAATGCTAGTATTCTACGAGCACAAGCCGTGTAAATAGGACGATTCGTGTTATGCAGTTTTTCTTTAATTGGTCAGTGCACTGCGAATGATTGAGACTCGAGGGAATTTAGATTATCGATGCGATGTGTGTGGAAGATATTCCAACGTGTGGGTTGACAACAGAACAATGAAACGAGACGAGAATCCATAAATAGATAACTGTGGTGTGTATTTGTGGTAAAGAATAATTAGAAGTAATGGTAATAATAACTTCCGTTTTTTGTAACATATTTTACTGGTGTTTCATTTTATACCTGATCATGTCGTTTTAATCGCTTTCTTTTTCAAATTGCAGTGAAAATTATTTTTTCTAATACCCATTTAATTGAGAGCAATGTTATCCTGGTTATGACCAGAGGCTGAGCCCCTCCGGTGCAAAGACAAATTTTTCTTAATCTATTTTGATAAAAATTGTGAAAATTCAAAAAATGTCAAAAATTCAAAAATTCCAAAATTCACTAAAATTCGGTAATTATGGCGCAAACTCATGGAGGCTGCAAATTACTGGAGAAATTTCAACTAGGAGCGGGGGGAGCGGATATTCGAATACGAGTATAGCGGATAAGTTGTGTAAAAAATAGCAAAAGCCCTGAATAAAAATGGTTAATCTGGCTGGAGCTGAGATCTGCTATTTCTCTATATTTTCCCTCTCAAATGGCTATTCCAGCTAAAGTGACCCTTGTCCCTTTATATATCGACAGAAAAGGACAAGTTAAGCAGCTTCACCACCAATCAACAGGTGCTGTCAGACGGTAGTTTGGGGTAATCGATATCTATTCTATTTCGAGAGACTTCTGAGCTCCGCCCGAGTCCATTCCCACATCTGCGATGAGTCTATCGTTCCCCAGAGTCCAAAGCTCAACAAATCCCCCCACGATTTAATTCCCCGTCAAATATTAATTCCAATTGATTGCCATCCGGTCCGTTCAGAGGAAATTCCGAATCCTTTGCGAGTACTCGATTCGAATAGTCTCAATTGTTTTCCTTTCTAAATTTTTTTTTTTTTCGGAAAATAGCGTCGTTGCATAATTATTGCATCCGTCAACAATCTCAAACTTTGTTCGAGGTTCGTTGAAGTTGAGAAATACGGTCTATTTCCGGAATGAAACTGAATTCGTAAAGTTCATTGACTGGCTAATCAAATTACAACTCTTCTCGGGCGGATAAATGTAGCATAAATTTTCTGGTTCGTAATCTCTGGAAAATATGTTTCCACTTGGCGTGATAATTCCATCGTTATTAATAAGAACATTATGACACGATAATTACGCAATTCTCTTTATTTCAAGGAAAATCTCTGCGAGAAATTATTTACCAGTTGGAAAATCCTCTTGTGTTCATGCCAAGCAGACCTTTCTGGTGATTAATTAAAAGTATGACTCTCAATATTTTTTGTTGATTTCAATTTTAATTTTTCGCTGGTTTGCATCACATAATTTTTCTTTGTACAAGTCAACAATTCTACAGTTCCTACTGCTATTCAACTCTCCTCATTAAATGCCAATTTACGGTAATTACAATGACAATAACGTAGGTAATGCGATAGAAAATTAATTCCCCAGCTGGAATGCAAGCTCGAAATGAAATTCTCCGTTGAAGTTATACGAGATGATTCCTGCGGTATAACCTGATTATTGTTTAATACAATTATTCATTAATTGTATTTATTTATTGTTCTATTGAATCACTATTTCCAGATGATCGACAATTGGATTTTATAATGATGAACAACAAACATAATGATTACATAAATGCTGTAATAAATAAAAAATTCTAATAGCGATGACGACGATAATGCGAATGGTGGCAGTATGAAAATTAATTTGGTCGATCGAAATGAAATCCTCGGTAATTGCAGCAGTAAACTTTTATCAGAGGCTTTCGTCAATGGGGAGATAACGGGAACTTTGGTGAGACACACGCACAAAGGGATGGGGATGGAGTGAGCCAGTCAGAAATAGTGGGATGCGAAACTAACTTTATCGGATTCATCCACGTCATACTTTGTCCGCAGTTTGCCCCATCCCCTAAAAGGTGGTGCAAGCTCGTAAAACGATCGGGCTTTCCCAGTTCTCCTAGTTACACGGTTATCGTTTGGACACGGATTGCACAGGATGAAAAAAAAAAAAATCTCCTGTCACTCCCCATTGCATATATTCACACAGAAACGCTTTTTCATTTCATCTGGAAAGTCGTTCCTCCCTATTTAACTTCGCTCAACTCATTTGCTAATTCATCGCTTTTTATTCGTCGGGATTGCTGGAGTTGCTTTTTTTTTTTATCGGGGAGACATTTCAAACGGGCAGTTTCGATGTTAAGGATCGCATTTTCCCACGTAGGGTCCAAGATAGCACGTAGGAAAAATTCGATAGAAAATACCCTCCCCCACACTTTCAGCTGGAAATTCTATTTAATGTCTATTGGAATTCTATTCGACTTCTCGGGGAACTGCATTACGATTTTTTATTTAAAAGTCTATTGATTTTTATTTTAATGCAGTTTTACTCGCGCCTTTTCATTAATCCTTATTTTATCATTTATCTGTTAAAAATTGTCTATTTTAATTTTCTATTAATTGCGTGGAATCTTATTGGAACTCGTCGCATTCTTCTCCATTATTCTTTATTTCATTCTTTATCGGTGGTATTATCTATTTTTATTTCAATTTCTTCATTTATTAATTTTGTTGTTGGTTTTTTTTTTACTCTGAACAAGGACTGCCTTGTATTCTGTTATTTTTTATTAACCGTTCATTTATTCATTAAAGAGCCAGCAGCCCGAAGCAATTAGAGGGTCAAACCGTAATCCAAGGACGGGGGAAAACGTATAAAGGAAATCTCCATCTAATTGTTGTTTAATTATATAAATTCTTCGGTAAATACTGCATTCTTAAACGTTTTGAATTCAATTTCCCAGTTAACAGAAAAAATTAGGACAATCTATTAATTTTTGTTATCTAAATCCATAATAATTCATTAAAACTGCAATTCTACAGGATTTATCATTTTTCCTGTAATGACAAAACCTGATATTAATTAAATTATCTATTGCTTAATTAATGGGTATTAATTACTGTCTAGCGCGGTCAAATGAATTTTAATTATTCTAATAAGATAAACTACATTACTTTGTGAGTTGAGATTGTAATTGATTGATTGCGATAATTACTTGCCCATTGATTAATATGGCTATTAGGTAATTAACTAAATTCACTGATATAGATATATCGCGTTGATATCACGGAATTGATTTCCCGCGGGAAATATCTCTTGCGAATAAATTTCTTGGGATAAGAATTCCGGATAATGCCCCGGACAATGTGAGATTTCAGTCAAGTGTTCATGACTTGAACATGAACATTTCATGATAAAGTGAGGATTTCTCTCCCTGAGAAGTTTTTTTCACCTCTGAAAATGATAAAATTACTAAAAATACCAGAAACTTCGATCCAGTGATTCATAAATCATCTGTTGCCCAGGGATGAGGAAAATATTCAATAAAGATTGCAATGGGAGTGGAAAACAATTGGTAATTTTTATTGAACATTTCTGTTGTTGTGACTGAATGGAGAGTTGACGCAGAGGAAAACCTCCGAATATTAAAAGCGTATAACCATCAGTTTGAGTTCGAAGGGAAGCAATATCATCTTTTCCTTCTGTCAAACTTCTCTCGTCTCACAAAATATCACCCCATTTCCAGAAAAGACATCATCTTTTTATTCTCGAACTTCCGGAATACAGAGAGAATCACATTCAAGATTTTCTGTTCGAAAAGAAAAAAAAATCTTGATGTCACGACAATTTTTCCATCGACAGTCAACAAATATTCCGCGATTTTTTACTATCAAAATTGGTTAATTATTGCATAACATTTTCCAAATATTTTGTGAAAAAAGGTTTTTTGTTTTTTACAAGCGGTTATCGATATCAATCATATAAATAAAATATTTTTAATGCCATTTATGAATTTCGAAAAATAATAATAATTGTCAACATAGTCAATATTGAAAATCCATAAAAGTCCTTGGAAATGCTAGAAACGAATAGATTCATCAATGAAAAAATTCTTTCCAAATTTTCGTCATAGAGTCGCCCTAAAAAATGTGATATCCCATATAAAAAATTTTTTATCAATTTTCCGTGACACTGGAATTCTTCTCTCCACTGGTGAAATAAAACTAGGCAGAAGTAAAAATCAATTGCTCTGATTGTCGGGAGGCGGTTAAAAATGCCTTCAGCTCTCGAATTCCAATAGAATTTCCTGATGCGTGAGCCCCAAAGGTACTCATCACCCATAATTTGTCTGGTTTCTGCGCCTGACTCGTTACACCCGTTCACCCCTGACACGTATCTTGGAATTTCACCCCCCCAAAAGCATCGCAATTCCATGACCCCTCATAAGTCGACATAATGAAAAAAATTGCCCATCAAAGTGTGAGAAAGGGTGGTACAGATATATCCGGGGGGGCAGGCAAATGGACAGATGGGCATTACGACAATGGAGGGTGAAATCCTATGGATAACGCTAAAGAACAGGGAGGGATGTCACTAGATAGATGGGGTGGGTGGAGTGGGTGGAGTGGGTGAAGTGGGTGGAGTGGGTGGGGTGGTTGGTCCAGTGCCGCGCAACTTCATGTACCGAGGGATGAAATGGCACATAGGGTGCGTGCAGAATGCTGCGCACTAGATTTTACCGCGACATCAGCCAGTACTTCGCCCAATTTCCACCAAATATGTTGTGTCAAACATATTCCATTTTGATATTTTAATTCCTTCCGGTCATCAATCTAGATATATTCTCAACTCAGTGATAACGACAATGAGTTCATGATCTTATCAACCCTTCACCGATGGGTGATGCGCCGCTGGTGTGATAAGTGCGAGGTGATGGGGGAGGGAAAATTCTGTTTATCTTTTGACTAATGTCCAATTGAATATCGATGATTCGGGGATCCTGTCATTGCGATTTCAATCGATTTATCGGCTGTTTAATCGAACGTTTGTGATTTTCAAGGTGAAAATTTCACCTCTCGTCGTGGAATTAGTGTCAGCGGGTGCGCGTTATCGCGGAATTTATGTATCAACCCCAACCCTTTGTCAGGAGGTGCTTCCCTTGTTTCGATAGATTATCTCCTGGATTCGAGGTAATGTATGAAAAATATCACTAGATCATTGGCATTTTTTTCAGGGTACGACGTGGATCTTTATGGTGTTTTATGAGTTTTGTAGATGTAGGACTTTCGTTAATGGGGAACTATAAAGGTTTATTTAGGTTCTCATCACGTTTTCATGGATATCTCGGAATCTGAGGGAGATACAAAAATTTTCAATAAAATCTGTTTTGTCGAGGGCATCTAGGGCTACAAAAAAGGTTTTACGATGATTTTGATGGCACTCTTAGATTCGGAGATATGCCCTGATGATCAGTTTATTTTAGTGGTAATGAAGAGGTGACAAGCTGAATTGGTGACTAGTCTAGTTTTTCAGAGTACCTCGGAATCCGGGGGAGATAGAGAAATTTTCGTTGATACCTTTTTTGTAGGAAAGTTCAAGACCTACAAAAAAGGTCTTACGAACATTTTGGTAACTCCCTGGGATCAGAAGTTATCCTTCGAAAAGTTACTTATTATCTAAATCATTCATCTTCCCTTTTCTCCTGCGTCACTGAATTGTTATTTACAGCGAGAAAATTCTGAATAATTACGATAAATTGAATTAATGCGGAGACAAATGAAGGAAGTTTGCAAAAAGGGAAAATATATTAGTGGGAGCAAAAGCGTGAAATTAATATGAATTTAATGTTTCATTATAGAGTAATTAATTTTCATTGAATATCCGTATTTCTAGAAATTTTCCGAATGAAAAAAAAAAAATATAAAAATGAGGAGAGTGATGTAAATCTGACGAAAATTGATCTTCATTAGCCCTCAGGGTTTTCCATGAACTTTCCCTCCGATGAATTTCTTTTAATTTCGTGCGATCATTAAAATCCCGACCCGCGTTTTTTGATATTATTTCAATGATTAATCCGATTAATGGTTCATTTCCATAAAAAATTCATCTTCTCTAGGGTAAGTTAAATGAATGAGGGAAAAAAGGGCATGATTAAAAGAGAAAACATATTGTAAGGAGAATGATGTAAATTTAGTGGAAATGGAGCTTCATTAGGTCGTGGAACGGTCCGCACATAAAGTGTGATTAATTTCAGGTTCTTGTTTATTTCAGAAACAACGAGTTGCACAGCAACTCCTTAATTTCACTTTATTCCATTAATTGTGAAATATAATTCCGGGCTTTTGTTTTTGAACCTCTGCATTTTGCTTGGGGCATGGAATGCGGTAATTTGATGAGTTCATTTTGATATTTTTGATGTACAGAGAGGGGATTTAAATCGCATTCAGTATATTCAATTTTAAACGGTTCAAGGGGTTTAATAATAATCCCAATGAGAGAAATACGTTGCTATGACAGTATTCATGGAGATCGTTGTAAAATTACGTTCGGAAACGTAAAGAGGATGCATCATGTCGCTTTTTACTTTATTCGTTTTCCATTCCGATTTTGAGGAAGGATTTAAGGTAATTCTGTTCTCACGATGTTATTTCATTCGTTTTATCCAGTGGTTCGATTTAGAATGGTTTATACTATTCAAGTGATTTATTCCGCCATTACCTTTTTTATTAATATCCGACATTTTTATTTGTAACTGAAAAAGAGATCTCATGAAAATTTCCCGTTTTCCTGGATTCTCAAATATTCATTAAATCAGATCAGATAGGATTACCTGATTAATTAAAATTTTAATGATATGTTTTTATCGTCAAAGAAATTTTAATAAGCGATTGATGGAAAATTCATTTTTCGATTTTTTGAGGGAACGAAAAAAAAAATTGAAATATCGTGTTGACCCATTACGAATAATTACTGATGATTACTAATTACTCCAGTGATCATTCGTTATTATCATGAATTATCGGATTGAATGTTGTGTATCTTGATGAGAGAGCTCCGGATTATTTATGCAGTGGATCACCGCGAGAAAAGGTATCTCCAATTTCAATTACTCAGACCACTAGTTTGCATTGTTATCTGTTTGACCATGCGACTATTACCGAATGTACACAGAATAGCGTGTGTAAACCGTCGAATACATGGGTACATGGAGCCGAGTATCAGGAAATGATACAGCGCGGCATTCTGAATTGACCCGTGCTTTTCCGCCCTTATTACCGTAGTGAGGGCTTGAATGGAGTTTCTTTTCAAAGGACTTTCCAAGTCCTGAGTTCTATTGGCCCTTACTACCACTCGTTGGGACTTCTTCATCGCAACTTTGATAATGAAATTAATGCACTGCCGTCGGTGAAGTCACGCCCGCACATTCTGTCGAATAATCTCGAACCTTTAATTCCGTCAATCAATGATATCGGAATAAAATGACAAATAAATGAAAAAGAAATTTAATTGATTAGTCAATTATAAATTTAATAGCGATTGACAGAATTTCGTCATTGATAATTCCATAATTGATGATGAAATTAGTGAATTGTCCTGAAAATATTGGCAGACAGATTCTGTCAGATATTTTTATGGAAATACAAATTCTGTCAATGGGAGAAATTATGGATTTCGATATCCTTTGACAGAATTGAGGGAATCAATAATTTATTAATTATCAACGAATCTGGTCCAGACTTTGACTCTAATTATATTTCTGGTTTCAGATTCATGACAATCTGAGATTCCGTGACAATTTGACATCGACATGACTTGATCATCTGTCATGGATCTGCGAGTGACTTCAATCGTTTTGGCCATATTTGTGGTAAACGTCGTTCATACAGGAATAGCATCAGTCGCTGTAGGTCAGTAATTACTCAGTAATTCTCAACAAAAACGATCCGACATGTTTTTAATTTACAATTTTTTCAAGAGACTCTTCTAAATAATTGGATTAAATTGATCCAGTTCATTACGCTACTTGTCACGTATTTTTTCCGATATTTATCTCCAACGGTATGAGTAAATAAAATTGAATTTCCAGATGCTAACTATCGACACTTGTCCAATAATTGGACTCCATCTCAACATATCGACGTATAATATCCGGGAGTTACTTTCAATCACTCGGATAGTGCATCCTTCGCTTCTTAATGTCTCGTCCATGAAATTTGCAACCCTAATTTCCGAGGAAAATCGAAGTATCAATACTAGGTTATTGACAGAAATTTTATTCATGTTCCTGCAGCTTGCGAGACTCAATACAAATCCGGTAATAATAGAGAGGATTTCTTGAATGGAAGTCACAGGAAGACCGGAGCTTTCGGGAAATTTCTCTCAAAGCTATCAGTGATGCGGAGGACTCTATTATAACTATCAAAAACACTTTCTGACAATATAATTATTAATTCCAATGAAAAAAAAAAACAATTCAACAATTTGAAAGGAATGATTTACTTTGTTCAGCCAAAAAATTTTATTAAAGTAGAAAAATATCTATTGAAGATGAAAGAAAACTTCAGATGAAAATTGACAATTGATTATTTTCACCAATGAAGTAATGTTCTTTACTTGATCGAAATAAATCCTGTTTTTTGGATGGAGAAAATTTTCCGCAGTCGGAGAAGACGTTGAGGCATTTCACTAGAACTAGAAATTGAAAGAGTTGGACACGAGCCGAAAGTTGGCCCCTAAGTTTGCTGATGTGATTTTAATATGCATTGATTTTCTTTTTCAGGATCGAAACCCTTTCCCGGACTTGAAAATTTACCCAAATCCTTCTGGCATGAGTTGAGTTCACCATTCACAGAGGTACGTTCTCCATTCCAGCTCAGTGGTGAGATAGTGTTTGTTTTGAAATGAAGTTTCAAGTTTCTCTCAAGGACTACTGGCAACTCAAAAGAAAGAACATTTCAAAATGTACCCTCAGACTTTCAATTTTTTAATGAGATTCTCATTGAATATTTCACAGGCTTACGAAGAGGAGAGTTCTGCCACTGAAAATGGAGCGACTCCAGAGCCGAGGCCCTTTTTCGAGGATCCCGATGGCAACGTTACAGTTCAACTCGGTGCACATGTGTATCTTCACTGTAGAGTTGAAAATCTGCAGAAACGAACGGTTCGGTTATTCTCGATTCTCCCTCACCATCCATTTATGACTTAGCCTGAAAATTTTATTCTTTTCATCTATGAGCACGAGTCCATTGAAGATGCAGAATGAATTTTCATTATCCGCTTTCAGATTTCGTGGGTACGAAGACGTGGAAGTGAACTGCATTTACTGACCTTCGGTATCCACACGTACTCCAGTGATTCTCGATTTTCCCTTGATTACCAATCACCAAATGACTGGCGATTGCTCCTGAGATCGGCGACTGAAAGAGATGCCGGTATCTACGAGTGTCAAGTCAGTGTTCATCCCCCGCTGACTAGGACTGTGCACTTGATAGTGTCCGGTGAGAAAATGATCTTCTTCATTGAAAATATTCAATTGAATTAGAGAGATAATTTTTTAATACAACCGGAATGAAGAACATGCGCCGTCCGCAAAGCGTTATTTTACGGACATGTGAAATTAATGTCCGAGAGTTTGTTTTGACTTTTGCCTGCTATTTGGATTTTCAGTACCTCGAGTCGAAATAATCGATGAACACGGCACGAGTGCTTCCGACAAATTTTACAAAGCGGGAAGTACAATAGAACTGAAGTGCGTTGTGAGCAAAGTACCTCATCCCAGTGGATACGTCACGTGGAGACATGGAAGCCGAATGCTCAATTATGACACTATCCGAGGTGGAATTAGGTAACACATTACTCACTTCCTCGTGCACCCAAAATGCGAATGTCTTCCCCCGGGTAATGGGATTCATCATACACGGTCTTCCCCTCGTGGCATTTTGCCATCACAAACTTTTGTGATACGAGTGAGAAAAGGGGGAGTTTTTTTCACACCTCAAGCGCAAAAAGTCCCCTTTTCTCGCCAGGGATCCTATTCTTGACGGATGGGAAACGTCTTTCGTGAACGGTACGTAATCCGTGAAGGAACGAATGATTCGTTGATCACTTTCGTTTGGGAATTTTAAATTCGTGAGGGAAAATTTTATTTTATTTTATGGGGACATGTCCAGCAAATCAGAGGTCTCAAGGGAATATCAAATATTCGGTCACGGATTACATTCTCAAGTGTCGGGAATACGCCCCCAGGACGATAAAATTTGATTAACAAAAATCCTGGCGAGAAACAAATCTTACTTCTCCAAACGAGCCCAAATATATTTCACACAATTATTTATGAAATTCATACCGACGAGGAAGTCATTACGGCAATTCCCAGAATTTTTTTCCTCTGTTTGCCAATATTTTTTATCGCCACAGTTTTTCATAAATTTTATTCCCCTGAAGTTGAAATAATTTTGAAATCAGAGGGTGCTGTACCAAATATTAAGTTAATGAATGTGAGTTCAGCGAAATTTTCGATAGACTTGAGAATTTGTTTGGGAGAGTCTAGGTTGTTGTAAATTAAATTTCTCTGTGTGAGTGGAAAATATGTATTTTTCCGTTGCAGCGTGAAAACAGACATGGGGGCTGAAGGTGCTACATCGAGGCTTTATATCGCAAATGCCAATAAGAAAGATAGCGGTAACTACAGCTGTGCACTGGCAGATGTAGCCGCTACTATTGTTTCCGTCCACGTACTAAATGGTAAATATTTCCGGGGAAAAAACCGTGCAGTTTACAATTCACAGAAAAAAAAAATATGTATCGATGGTTTTATAACGGGCCAACACCAGTGCCAGGAAATTTGAATTCACCGTAAATTTCAGGAAACCACTGAAAATATTGAACTAAACTTGGAAATATGATTTACTATAACATCGTTTTATAATAAAAGGAAATAATATCATAAAAACATTAAATAATCGTAACGATTTTCTATATTATTATTATATACAATTATTATACAATACCTTATCTATTTTGAGAAAAATATTATTGAACATCAATACTCTATTTTTTTTTTATTAAATATTTGATTCAGGAGAAAATCCAGCGGCGATGCAGCATGGGGACAGCTCGAACCCCAACTCCACGGTTGTGGGAGTAATTTTATTAACACTATTGACGTTTTTAAGATGACCTTGATGTGTCACTTGCCCGTCAAGGATTGATATTGGTGCTAAGTCCATGGATGAGTATGACCTTAAGGTGTGGACATTCCGCTAATTGTAATTGTTGCAGTGTGAGAAAAAACATTAGAAGACATTTGCTCGAGACTAGAAAATATTCTCTTGCTCATTTCATCTTCTTTTATCTTTTCAGATTTCCCGACGGTGGACGATGAAGACGCGCGCACAGGTCCACGTATTTATCCTAAAATTGTGATTCGTAAGTGTTCGGAATAATTGGAAAAAATCGTTGGTATAACTTATTTGCGTAGTCCATGTATAGATGCAAGTGAAAATGAGTATCTGCACAGAGACGAAAAAGAAATTCTTTCTCGGGAAAAACACTTGCTAATCTCAATTTTAATTTCGATTAAAAAGTTCTCGATGAGGAAAATAATTATTTTTTCAAACGCAATTTACCGAGGGAAGAATTAAGTCTGGACTGAATCATGAATTGGAAATGTTTGTATTGAACGAATAGAGAATTTATTCAGAGGAAAATTCTTCGTTTCTTTGCTGTCAAATTTCTCTCGGTCTTGAAAGATATCGTCTCACTTCGAAAAACCATCATTTTGTTATTCTATAATTTTTTCTTGAGCAACGGAACTCTGATTTTTTGTCTGAAAGTTCACGAATTCGTAAAAAATGTACCCAATAATTTTTACTCAAGTCTTGACTTGGAATATCGTGCCGAGTTTCTCTCAGTGTGGAAAAAAAGTGATACTCCCTTTGAAAGAACAAATCTTTTCCCCTGTGTACGTATATATTGTGTATGCGGAAGGATAAGCGTAAGACCCATTATTCACTGTACATAGGATCCAATAAGTGACATGCAGTAATACCGCTAGAGTAGCTTATCTCTAAGGATGTATGATGTGCAAAACGATATCAAATACCGAATATGCACTGGATAGATGCATCTACCAGTTGATAGAAATGTCGAGGATTTTTGGAAATTTTCCAATGCAATCGTGGAAAAAGGCTTCATGGAATACACTATCTTACACAATAAATGATTTCTGTTCATACTTCGTCCTCATCCTTTATTTCACTCACTTCCACTCCTTTCAAATCTTCTAAATTTCATAAAAAATTTCAAATTTTTATTATTTTTAATATCAACAATAATAAAATAATGATAATTATTTTAATTCAATTTGATGATTCAATATAAATAAACAATTGAGTATAGAATAGATTTTTTATTTTCATCAATTTTACTGCTGATATTTGAAATTCGCGGGGAATCAGAACCTGCGCAGTGGACAGGCGAAATAAAAAATGGCTGCGCCCAGCTGTTTAGCTGTCACCTGCTGTGAGATAGTCACCCTCACGTACTCTTGTGCGACAAGAAATTGTCAAAATGATACCAAAGTGAAATATTTCAGTGTGAAAATATGATCGACACGCGGTATGTTTTTATGACAGGCCCCGTAATTCTCGGATTGTTTCTGGCGATATTCGACAGGTGAGAAAAAAAAAAGAACTCCCACGTCATCAACGTAAACAAGTGCTATTTGTTGATAAATATTTTATCACTCCATTGAACCGATAGCATCGCCTGGGCCCTCGTGATCATCCTGACATACAGCGTCAGCGCATTATGGGGTGTGACAATTCTGGACTATCTAGGAGTTAGTGTCAACACTCATCTACCCGGGGATGTTTGCAGACCGAGGGATGATGGGGCCTGCAGGGTGTGCAGTGGAAGTGCATGCAATCGACACAAGCCCTCTGTCTACAATACACATGTCAAAGTGCCTAAGGACTTTGACGTCGCTCTCCAGAACGTAATTAAATGTTATTTTCTTCCCGAAGAAATTGGGTCGACACATTCTATCGAATTATAATAGAAACTCTTCCTCTTTTCTTCAATCGAGCGTATAAATATCTTTCGGATAATATCCGAGAATATTTTGAATTCTTCAAAATGTTAATAGAAAATGTCATGTCCCTTCAATTTTCGGGAGAGAATATATTTACAATATATCATTATCGATAAATAATAATTGATTACGAATAAATGATTCATATCTGAATCCCCCAGCTTCTGGAAACAGTTCTTCAAACGTACGTATGCGAATGGTACTCGACGTTCTCCTCCGACGAGGCATTTCTGCAAGAATTGAGATTAACAATAGCCACAGCAGCGAGAAACATTATCTCCAGATTATTTCGTGCAGATATTTCAGAAGTTATTTTTAATAATTTGATCCCAGTGGCTCTGCAACACGCAGAGGACTGGCGACTGCTGGCAATTCACGCCCGCAAAAATGGAAATAAACCAGAAGACAATGTTATCGATTATCTAGGGCACAGAATCCACCCAGCAGCTCTCTCTCGAGATGCTGAACTAAACTACCTGAGAGGACTGGTTACAGGGTTCATCCCACACTTGATCCCTAGTTCCTACATTTCTACGAATAACAAGGTAATAAATTTAGTTCATGACTAATTGCAGTCTGAAAAAATATTTACTTCTCTCAAATATTGAGTTCAACGCCCGACTTGAGATCCGAGTACTCTGTCGTCGAAGTAATTTTTTTTTAGAGTAGTTAGTTAAGGCTGTGGGAATTTCCAGGTGATTCTGCGGGAGATTCTAGCGAATTGGGTGCTCCTCCCTGCAATGGACGCTTTATCAGATCCCGATACTATAAACTTCCTCGTCGAATTGTGTACTCAGTACCAAGGGGACTTGTCCCAAGAGCTTGATGCCGTTGAAGTTCCGGCACTGCAATCCTGGATAACTCCGAGGATTATTGTTCAAGATACCGAAGATCCCCTGAAACCCTCGCTGGAACAAGTATTAGAAAGTCCAGAGTTGCTGTATTTATTCATGCAACACATTAAGGAATCTGGACCTGTTAATTTACTGCAGTTTTGCTTGGATATCGATGACCTGAGCAAGCGAATGCTGACCCCAGACATGACTTCAGACCTGGAAGAGAGTCTCTACACCTCAGCCCAGAGCATTTACTCGTCGTACCTGGATCCAGAGGGTGGGGAATACTTGCACCTACCCTGGCACATCTCCCAGGGAATGCACGATATCCTGGAAGGAGGTCCCAGTAAAGTTCAGGAATTGCGTACATCACGCCCCCTGTATCAGGCGCACCAGGAGGCACACGCCAGATTAGAGGCGATCTGTTTGCCCTCGTTCCACCACAGCTTTGAGCTCTACAAACTGCTCTGCGGTTCCCCAGTCTCCGCGACCTTCACGAGATCCGCGTCTCAGCATAGTACGATGTCAGGTAGTACTAATTTTATTATTTTTTAACCATGCATTTTTTTTTTATGTATCTCGTCTGTTAATACTGCCAGGTGGGCCAGGAGTTGGAGCAAGACTGAGCAATCAATTGGGAAGAATCCGCGGAGTTTTGAGGGCCTCAGCGGTGGATGGGGCGCCTTTTCAGTCTCCAGATGTGTTTCAAGCGGAGGAGGTAGACTGTACCCCTAGAACCTTCGACTCAGCCCTCTACGAGGACAAATCCGCGAGGGATTTAACCACCTGGCGAGTCACTGTACCCCACGTTGACGGGGGTGGAGCTTTCCCCCTGTATATGATAGCAGTTCACAGTGTTGCGGAGGACAAATCCTGGACGGTTCTACGGAGGGACCAGGACTTTCACGTTTTGAGGGCTCGTCTCATGGAATTTCATGGTGACAGGGAGATGAACGATTCCCCTCTACCGACCAGGAAGAACCAGACGGCCTCCCTCACTGCCAACCGGCAACGGTACCAGGATTTCCTTCAAAAACTTGTGGCAAAACCCACCCTCAGAAGCAGTGAACTTCTCCATATTTTCTTAACTGCTCCCAATCTCAAGTCTTATCTCACTAATTACTCAACACCTGATATTGGAATTCTTTATCAGAATGTTGCGCACAAATTAAGGAAGGAAAAGGGACAGCATCTGGATAAATTCATGAGTACTTTGCTCGCCTCTACTTTTGTCAAGTACGAGCACGCAGATTTGGGAATTGAACCTGTTGAGCAGGTGGCAGACGTCAAGAAGGGCAGAAATTTCAGGTCTACTGTCTTCGAGGATAATTTGGGGATCAAAGAGATGAAGGAACTGCCTTACATTTCCACTGGTACCAAGCAGGTAAAGGGAGCGTCTTTCTGCGTTGCCGGAGCAGGTGATTAATTAATGTAGTAATTCTCAATAATCCAGAGTTTATTTACAATTCGTAGAAATTTGAAAAGTTTCTGAATTTTCAGTTGAGAATTTGCTGGGAGTCAGTGGACTGGTCTCTCAGTGCACCTGGTTGCTTGCCTCGTTGGCTCGTTCATCGTTAGATTCAGTTTGTAATAAATTCATGAACCGGATATTAATGAAACTCCTGAGTGGAGGGCGTGCAGCAGTCGTCGTCAAACTTCTGCATAATGCAATGTTCGAAGAGAAATCTTCGATTGATGTAAATCCATCGAGCAGAGCTGAGCGATACAAAAGCGCCAAGGAGGGATTACACTCGTTACTCCCATGGTGGTGTTTTGGTTTACACACTAATTATTGGTGCAAACTAATGGACGCTCTCCTGGAGCCCCTGCAAAATCCTTTCCTAAATAAACATCTGGCCTATGTACTTGTTGATCAAGTCCTGGTGACACTTTTTCCTGAAATCTCTCAGATATAATGCAGTTTTTCAGCCACCGGCACTTACGCCATAATCCCGTAATTGCAATGAATTATCAATTGTATATATCGCATGTTTGCTCAATTAATTGTACATATGATTTTTTTTCAATGTTTCGTGAAAAAATTGTTCTGAAAGTTGAGAACAATGGTTATGTAAATATGATGGAATACATTATACAAAAAATATAAAAAGCCGTAATTTACCTCCAAATATAATTTATATACACTCCATAAGTAATTACATTAAATAATACCTTAATTAAATCTCGTCGCCCTGCATACGATATGGTACAAAGAATCAGTCTTGTAAAACAATGACGAAAGAAAAATGGCTGCACCTTTATAACAAACGGCAGTGTCACACATCACTACCTGTCTCTCAATTATCGTTGAATTTTTGAAATATCTCTCAATCTAAGACAGCTCCCGAAATTTTCATATCTACCTTTTCTATAGCTCTCATTGCAGTGTATAAACGAGTTCTTGAGACGAAATTGGCTATCTCCGTTAGATTCCGAGATATTTCATCGTTCGGTTCCAGAATAATTCATTAAAACTTCAGAAATCGAGTACTTCATTGGGTTTTCTGGCAATTTCCGAAACCGGGGTGGCTATCAAAATTTTACTTTCTTTTCGGTAGCTCTCAATCAGTTCTACAAAAAAGCTAGTTATCAAATTTCCGTCATTTCCCTTTCCTCGGAAGATATTCTCAAAAAACTCGACGAGTGAAATCCCTTTTCGTTTCGCTTTAATCTGACACAAAAAATCATTGATCTGTCATTCCTCCCCATTAAACTTTATTGGTGTGTACCATCCCGGTAACCGTGGGTCTGCGTCCCCCCAGCTCTACCTGGATCTCCTCAAGGCTCTTCCCCTTGGTCTCAGGCACTACGATCACCACAAAAACAACTCCCACAGCGCAGACAATTGAGAAAATCCAGAAAGTCCAGTCAGTGCCGAGGGCCTGTTCAACGGGACTGTAAAACCTGGTGACAACGAATGCCATGAGCCAATTGAACAGACAGGCACTGCTTCCAGCAATTCCCTTGACCTGAGGTGCAAATATCTCTCCAATCATCATCCAGGGTATGGGCCCAAATCCCAGAGAGAACATAATAATAAAAATGCAGACACCAAGAAGTGGCAGCCAGCCAATATCTTCAGCCACAGGATTGTCATTTCTTTTCAGATTAAAATACACCCCGATGACTAGGGCAGAGATACACATGGCGAGAACAGAGCCAATAAGAAGAATTCTCCTTCCCAATTTATCAACGATGAGAGTGCTGATGAACACAGCAATCACCTGCATGACTCCCACGATGATCGTCGACAGGTTGGAGTCCATGGAGCTACCAGCAGCATCGAAAAGAGATCCAGAGTAGAATATAATGGCATTAACTCCACTCAACTGCTGGAAGAACATGAGCCCAAAGGCGATGATGAGGCCCTTGATGGCAGCTCTCGATCGAATAGAAGTGAGAAAAGACGTCTGATTGCGCTGTGCCGCAGCCAGGGTTTCCCTCTGTGTCTCGAGCTCCACTTCGATATTATAATCAGGTCCTCGAAGCCAACGATAGCTTTTCCTTGCAGCTCCAACGTCTCCCTTCTTCAAGTAATAAGTCGGTGTCTCCGGCATAAAGAAAAAGATGACGAAGAAAACAAGGGGAACGACTGCTGATATCAGGGACAACACGAACATCGAGACCACCGAGCCCAGGACGTACGTCAGGAGAATTCCAACGCACAGCATCAGCTGGAAGTACGAGCCTAGACTTCCACGGATGGAACTCTCAGCTATTTCTGCTGTGTACATCGGTGCTGTCACGCAGAAAGCACCACCACTCACTCCCAGGATGTAACGACCTGCCTCGAACATCGCCACTGAATCCGCCCAGATTATCAGGCACCAGCCGATCGTGAAGGGCAATACGAGAATCAGCATCGATTTCTTTCGACCGATTATGTCCGTCAGAATTCCGATTGGCACGCAGATTGTTGCTGCGCCCAAATTGAAGATCGAACCGATCCACGAGAAGTCCTCCTTGGAGATCGTCATGTTGTACTCTTTTGAGAGATTCACACCGTTTGCACCTGCTGGTGATGTCCAGCCCAGCACCATTCCCGCCGCTAGGGCACCCAGGGTGGCGGCTAAACCTGCCAGGTATTGCGGCAATTTTCGAGCTGAAGTCTCATTTCCGCGTGATACCAGCGTCTGCTGGGATATTCCCATGTGTGATTCTGTCATCGTGGACTCTCCCAGCAATGGCGTGCTCTCAGTTACCTATTGCAAAGATCGATATTAATTAGTAATTAAATTTATTACTGATCCGATTACCAATTAGTCATAAATCTATTATCGAAAATTCTATTCTTTATTGAAAAAAAAGGGTAGACACTTCAGGTTGAATTGTTATTGTTAAAATGGGGATTGATTGCGGGTTTGATCGATCAATTGAAAAAAGTTTGGTCTTCGTGAAATGGTATTCCCGTTTGAAAAATTCTTAAACGAAAAAATCTATTATCTCCTCGGAAGAAGAGCTGAATAATGCGATTCTAGTATTACATTATCACTTCGTTACATTATGACTCGTAAATGAAAAAATGCAAGTCAATACGGAACGACGGGTGAGCTATAATTCTGGAATATTGAATTTTAATCCTTCGTTTATTCTTTGAATATCTTCGACGGAATTCCGTGGAATGAAAATAGATTCACTGGGGAAAACTCGTGACTTTTCCTCAAATCCACCTAAAAATTGAATTTTTGTAATCGTTTTTCTCTCAAATCTCTGAATTCCTAAGTTTCTAATTCGCATTTTTTTTATCGCTATTTTGATCTCCATGATGTTACAGATTTTATTATTTTAAAAGTTATTATAAATAAATGTTTAAAAGTGGCGCGCCACACTGCCGCCAACAATGATCGATTATGAACATGATTTCCCCGCTTCTGCCGCTCTTATTAGAAGAATCCCTTAAAATCCTCCTCATATTATCAGGCGCTTGATTGAGGGTTGAAAAATAATAATTTTCAGATTTTTTACTTGCAGTCGTGGAAATATCTAATTCGATAAGATAATTAGCGTAATGCGCAGTACATACTGTCCACTGACTGGATCCTGTCATGTTGTCATTGACGTCTTCCATTTTCACGGCAATTTATCTAGAATTCTGCGATTAAACCAGGAAATATTTAAGACGAAAAGCCACGCGCTTGATTTGCAACTTTTCCGCGAAAAACGGAAAAAAAAATCGAGTGAGGAATGAACGAATTCAATCCGTCGATCCGCCCCTCACAAGTTTCAGCGATTTAACGTGGAAAATACTTAAGTTGCCAGCACTTGTTACTAGTCCAATTGTTTACATTTGTTTTTCATTACGCTTCATGCATTCTTGATTACGTTTGCGTAAGCATCAATGAGCTTTCATCGTTAATTACGCAAACAGTACTTCCGTATTCGCGTGATTGAATCAATTGTTCTGAGCTTTGGGGGGAGTTTTGCCGTTTTGAGAATCAACGCGATTAATTATACAAAATTGGTAATTACGATTTCAATTGAGAGGTATAAAAAATAATTTCACGCATGAACACATAAATTTCATTAGAATTTCATAATTAATTCTATTCAACAGTAATAATTACATTTTTATTCAATTACCATTCTCATTTTTCAATGCAATTTGTTTACTACTATTTTTATATCGTAATTTTTTCAATTTAATTCAATGCCGAATAAAAAAGAATAAAATAAAATTATGAATTGAACATTTTTCGAATCATTCAGAGCATTTCCTTAATTATGAGATAAAAAATTATTGAATTTTAGGAATTAATTTGTCAGTAACGAAAAAAAAGGTTGGAAAAAATTGAAATATAAATTTTCTCCATCTTTTCCTGCAGATGACAAAAATGGAACGAAAGTTTATCTCCGCGTATGAACTGGTGACATCAAAATTTTTCCCCCCCGATTTATCGTATTTCCCGAAGAACTGAAAAAACATGTAATTCCGCGAACCGAATTACCGCATGATTTATTCACTGATTAGATTACACCCGCCGTCAGCTCATAAATTGGTGATAGCGAGCAAATGTCATCATCTTTGCATAGGTCAATGGCATGTCGAAATCATTCAACGGCTACTTCATCTAATACTTCACAAAGTACTTGTCTGAATCATCCCAAAAGCCTTCCATCCGACATCCGGATGTTCTATCGACTTTCAGCCAAAATCCCCGTTTTTAAAAAATTTTTCATTATTATGTAATAACTCCCAAAGTGTAATCGTTATTAATTATAATTGTCTAATTTCAATTGATCATTAATTATAATTTTAAATTAATTTTATAACCAGTAATTTTAATTAAAATGGGACTGACAATTTTTTCGCACATCGAAAGTGATTTTTCCCGTCATTTATTCCGTAAAAATGGCCTCTCCCGATTTCCATTGACGCACCGTGAATTCGTCAATCGTAAAATGTTTCGGACACGTTGCAACTCATGCGTTTTGTTATCACATTGCATAACTCTGGGTGCACGAACATTGGATTTACATTGCGAGCCGCAAAAATAATATTGAAATGTTGTGACAAAGTTTACTCGTGTCAGCAGAGCACGAAATTTTTTGGTCGAATGACTTTGTGAAAACTAGCAACGAAAATCACTAGGTTTCAAGCTCAACCGCATCCGATTGCATAAGTGCGACAATACGCACAGTTCAATTGAGACTAAATCATTCACAAGATGAGCAAATTGGAGCTCCAATTAATTTTGATGATCGAGTCGATTTACACGAAAAAAAATCACACAATCCAATTCCAATGATCATTTCAAATTTGATTACTTCTCAATTAAAATAATTCAATAATATTCATTTGCATTTGAAGTAAATCAATTCATCTGTATAAGTGAATAATTTCTATTGATTAATTCCAAATAATAAACGACAAATGAAATATTCTCATATTAATTTTTATTTGATATTAATCCAGAATTCTTTATGGCCGTAAATAAAAATTAAATAATATAGGAACTGTTTATTTGAGGCGATGAAGGATGAAATAAAAATTATTCTTGAATTCGGACAAATATTCTATCAGTTAATGAATATTCATAACGAATTCATCAACGAATTTCTGGAAAAAAATCTTTCAATTTGCATTTGCCGCAACAAATGCGGAGGAGAGTAATTCCTCGTGTCCATTTGCATTGCTCTTAAATCAGCCCGTCAACAAGCCAACATAAAGTAATATCCAATTAGCTGCACTTCCGGTCAAAACACCCGGGGAAAATCAATTTTTCCGCTTCCCTGAAACACGTGGAGTCGCAAAAAAAAAACGACAACAATTTTTCTCTGGAATCGGGAAGCGATTTAATCGAACGCGATTGCATCGTAGGTAAAGGCAACACATGTATCTCATACATACGCTCAGCAAATATACATGTAACGACGTATTTCTGTCGGTCACGATGTGGGTCAATCGATTTTTAATTTTTTTACCGTCGGATGTGCATTAGTATGTACTAAAAATGCGCATCCATTTTGACAAATAAATATTTGGGTACAGTGGGGAGGAGTTTGAAATAATTTCTTTTTCAAAAAACTCTGGGGTGTTTCGTTTCCTGGAAACGGAATTGTTATTACCGATTTATCCGTATTTATCCGATCTCAGTACCAGATATTCTTTTACAGATTGAGATCCACGTGCCGCTCTTCGCGTTCTAGTACAGAATAAATAGATCTATAAAAATATTCGCCATATCTCGGTTATAAATTGTGTAAAATAATTTGATCCGTTGGATTACGAGAAAAATCGGAGAAAGTCCGGGCAGATAAAAATTGTTATTCCATTATCTTTATCCGCATTATAAAAAGGATAATCTCGCGGATTCACGGAGTAATAATTTGCGTTTCGATAAGATGATGTTTTATCGTTTAAAAAATTCAAAACGGAAAGATCAGGGTATCCATACCAATCCCTTGATTTTTTAATAATAAATCATTCATTATACTCTGCATGAATATTTTCATTACCAAATCGCGTGATAATCTATCCGAGATAGTGAATTGAATTATTGAATCGATAGCTCGATAATTTCCCGCGCGTGCACTTCCGTAAATTTGCTATTCGAAATGAAAGAACGATGAATTGATAAATTATTTAAAAATATAATTTATGAGTTATTAAATAAACCATGAATCATGAAAAAATCATAAATTATATTTTCCTCGGAGATTTTGAGTGGAAAATTGGAGTTATCTGGGGTTCCCCGTCGCAGATCTGCTGAAAAATTATCATAAGAGATATGATTCTGGGAGAAAGATAAATTTTTGAGTGCGAGTCCATTCTGGCTACAATCTCCAATAGAAATTTGCCAATGAATATCCTATGAAAAATAGGATGAAATTCAAAAATTTCAGTTCCATCACGTCATTTTTCTCTGCATGATGTTTGGAATTTTTTATTAATTGATTTTATAATTATTATAAATGTCACGAATTTTTTCGTTAGAGTATAGAGATTAAGAAGGGATGGAAGTTCTTAATACAGGGAGTGCCGGAATAAAAGTTTCCATCGGACATTTCTCAATTGATCGTTCATTATTCCAACTACTTAATTATCAATTCATGCCAAAGACATTGACATTCGGATTATCTCGAATATGAAGGGGTGAATATGGATTCCCCATAAATCGTAAATTTCATTGTAATTTTAATTGACTTCCAAATGTAAAATAAATGAGATGGAATGCATTTTAATTACGGTAAAAATGATGTCTTAATTAAAGACACACTTGTCCTCCAGAAAAATGTTTTAGGATGTCGTAACCCGGTGGGAAGAAAGACTCAGTCCGGAATGGAAGACGCCATTTTTTACTGCGCAAATTGTTTTGTTAATTAGCAACAAATTGAAAACGAAACAAAAATTATCCATTTCCCAAAATCAATCGCGTCACATGATTTTTTAAAAATTTCTTCAAACGTTTCCGTATCGAATCGATTGTCTCCCAAGTACGAGATTGTATTCCGATGTTCTCTCCCATAAAAAAAAAGGAATTTGATAAATGCTTTCCGGCCCAGGAAACCTGATGATGATCATTATAATAATGACAATAGAATAAAAAACTGTCTTTGTATGTCGAACTGAAAAAAGGGTCAACTCAGGTCCGTATACTTTCTAAAAATCCAACGCATCGAATTTTTCACTTGGAAGCCATTTTAATTAATTAAGAATGATGATGATGACAATTTAAAAAATACCATAAAAAAGCCTCTTGTAAATTTTTTTATATCGCATTAACTTTATTCTAGATTTGAAAGGATTTTCTCCTGACGTTTTCTCCCAAGAAAATGGAACAAATGAAAAAAATTTCGTCCGTCCCATAAAAATTCTGTTAATTACAAAATGATAATGGCTTCATAAAATATTAATATGATATGCGTTCGTTTATGACTGCAGAGCGGTTGGCTTCTGACATTTTCTTCTGCCAAAGAACGAAAAAATTGGAGAAAATCCTTCCATCCCAGAGAAATCGTGAAGTATTCAATGACTGCACTGTCAGAAATTTCTTGAAATTTCAATTTCTAAAGTCACTTGAATTTTCAATTATGTAATTTTGAACTCAATCTCAATGAAAACCGTGTAGTAAATTTCTCTTCCTTTCATAAATTCCTTAATGTGATTAACTTACTAAATAAAATAACAATTAATCTCTCACTGAAACTCTGAATGTTAAAAAAATAGTCAGATTCGTTAACAAAAAATTCTCCAGAAATTTTCTGTCACTTTGTCGTTATGAAATATTTCAAGTATAATTTCCAACAGTATGATACAAAAATAAATAGATTTTTTCGTACCGGTGTAAATAGGACAATCGGCGTGAAAATCGCGTTGACACTTGAAAAAAATTTTAAAAAATGGAAATTGTTGAAAGATAGACTGGAAGTGTTGCACTGATCTGTTTTGAAAGACGCGGGGGCTTTTAAATCCGGAGAGAATCCTCCCACTATGAAGACCCGACGAGCAATCAGAGGAGAAGAGGGGAGGATAATATTCAAGTATCCGTACAAGCTGCTGCATGTGTTGGTCTCACATTTACACTCAACGTTGAAGAGGCATTTTCAAAATCTGGTGTTGATAACGGTAACAACAGCGACGGTATCTCTACTCCGCTCTATCGTAGTTCTCGTGGGAACTACAGGACAAATCTCTGATGATAAATTCTGGTATTCTTTCAGATCTTGCACAGTGTTTCGAATAAACTAATCGCGTCGGTTATTGGCGTTTAATCGAGATTAGATTGACTGATTAAAT